AAGGCGGTGAGCAGCGAGCGTCGATACTGGAGCGTTTGTACTCATCTCACTGGGCAGTTCCTGATGTGTCAGTGTTTGGATGCTTGAAGGGCCCCCTCCTCTGCATCGACTCCCTAAGGCTGCTATAATTAAGGAAATGCTGTTAGCTCATTTTTCTGCTTTAGGGAAAGGTTTTAAACTATCGTAAGTGTTCACAGGATGACGTCAGTGAGTGATTCTATACCTGTGTGGGCCTTTGGGGGAGGAAGATCATCCTTGTCCGACTATACTAAGTCCAGCTGGAGCTCAGAGTGTTGACAGCATATTGAAGGATTTCCCTCATTGTTTTCCTTCATACTGAGGAGTGAGTAATCCTCATCCAGCCCCCATGTGGTTGATAATTTAGTCCTGATTTGTTGAGTCCCTAAATGAAATTTGGAGTGTCAGTATCAAAGTGGAAATTTTGGGAAATATTTCATGTCAAGCAGATGGAAAAGACAATGACATCTCCTTATTACCTTTAAATTTGAAGCCAGTGCCTTGTAAGCTAATTTATAAAGACTGCAAACAGCCACATAGTTTAATTCAACGGGAGCAAATGCTCTAAATAGCTCTGAAGTACACTGCGAGACTTTTTTCTGCTGTTTCAGTCCTTTATGGGGTCTGTAACAATCTGCCTCCCCACAAAGAAACAGTCATACTCATGATCTCCTGTAAAGGCACACAGCCTCTATTTTTAACCTTTATATTTGTAAGTACTGAACAAAAACAAAAACATCTTAATTGGCCGGCTTTGGAGACACTTCCAAGTTGATTTTATAACTTCAGACAAGGCGAGGCGAGCAGTTTCTCTAGTTTTTTTTTTTAAGTCTTTGTGCTAAGCCAAGCCAAAAAGTAAAGGTTTGAAGTATTTCATGGCCAGACGTGGTCGTTGTGAGTCTTGGTGAGCTTGGCAGACACTTTTTGTCTGAGTTAGTGAGTTTTGAACAAAGCTGTTTCTGCTCCTAAGGGTGGGGTAGGCAGGATCTGAGGAAGTGCCAGTTTTTGGGAGAAATCTTGAATGTAAACTCTACCCCTCCAACTAGTTCTAATTAAATTCAGATATAATGCAGATAAATACCTCAGATAATTACAAATGGGGCCCAGTCAACATGAAAGTAAAAAACATTGGTGCGACTGTAGATGCCAACAGACTACCAGCGAACACAATGTTTGCAGGACTTCTACAATGAGGATAAAGTGACATAGTCCAGGATCTGAGTTAAACAGTTCAGCCGCTACAACACGCAGCAGGTCCCGTTTGACAAGAAACACTTCTGTTACAGAACCTTGGCTTACTTTGTTAAAGCGGTTTACCTGTCCAGCAGAAAGGTTACAGGGTCTGTAAGATCCCGAAGCGTTCACTGATGTTGACCCGGCTTTTGAGCTCTCGTCTTGGTGGTCTATCTCCTTTCTAAGCGCCCGTTATTCCGCCAGAGTCTCCGGTATTTACTTCGTTTTCTTGCTTGTGTCGGCAGTCGTGGCCAAAGGAGAATTCAGAGGATTTTCCGTACTTTCTGCTTGGTTCTACTTTCCGATATTGTAGCATGCTATCTTTGTTTGGGCTCGTGAACGTTAGTCGTGGATTGTGCCTCACAACACGGGGGAGCAACGTCTACCTCACAACCAATCAGGTTGGGAGGAACGGCTTTGTTTACAGTCAGAAAGAGCGGGCCACTCAAAACAATTAAAACGTTGACTAAACAGACATAACAAAACACAGCGATATTGTTATATTCCCAAATGTCATCAATAACTGATATCTATTGACTGATATTAAAAGCTTTTTTGTATATACACCACAAAAAAAGATGCTTCTTTAACGGAATCCTGTCTACCCCACCTTTAAGCTAAAGCAGTTTGGGGATTGCAGTGCCATGTTTTATGGCCTTCTCAATCTTCTCAGCTAACTCTGGTGAAATAATCAAAGAAACATAAATTCTTCAAACCATTTGAAGAAATCCAGATCTGTATTTATAGAGCTTGGATTAATAATGAAGGCCTGCTGTGTTTGGGTCATTTTGGGTCAGCAGCTGAAAATATACAAGCATTTACATCTGTGCCAAATGTTTCAAGTTTATAGCACCAGGTTGCAGAGATATTCATATTCATGCACACTGAACCTTTCTGTATAATTTAGCTTACTAAAGTCAAGACACATAAACACATCAGCATCCCTATAATCCCTGTAAGACCTGCTTTCTCGGAGTGAGGTTCACAACCCCACCTGAGGCATGAGCAGACTGCTGTTGTTGAAGAGTGTGACTCAGAGGAAGGAGCTCTGCCCTGGAAACACAAATGCAAATATATATATGCAAGGAGAAATCAATAATTCGTACAAAAACACAACACTGGTGTGTGGTGCTGAATTCCTGTGAATGAGGCATTTTTATTTTTTTTTTTTTTTTTTACAGCGGTGAGTTCAGGATATCTGGAAAAAAAATCAATAACCACAAACAACTGAGTTACATGTTGTTTTTAGTTTATTTTTCATTCATTTTAATATCACAAGTGTAAAGTTTGTCAGTTAGACACAAAGGTTAAAGGTAAAAGGCTTATGACTCTGCCTCCAGTATCTTCTGTCTAACATATTTTTGCTCTTTTTCTCTTTTATTCTGTTTGCCAGTGTAGTTAATGTGGAAGAGGGATGAAAGTAAGAGGGGTTATTGCAAACTGGGTGCTCATGCTAATTGTTGCACCTTCTCCAGGTAATACGGGCCTAACTGGATGAAACAGTCAGTGTGTTTACATTCATAGCTTAATCGGACGAAGCTCATAGTTCTTTTTTTTCGCCTAATCGGACTTCTCTCCTTGTCCTTGTATACGTGCAGCTGAGAAAATCGAATTATTGACGTAAACGTGTCCTCCTCCCTGAGGATGTACGCGCTACTTTTTCTGCAGATGATGTTGCACGCTACTCCCCTGGTGTTTTTGTTTCAGGGCTACAGGGGCGTGGCGCACACCCACATGCATTGTCAAATCATACTACGTTGGGTACATGGTGGAGAAAATCAAATTCCAATCATATTATCTGGGTGTCTCAATTCTCTGACTCCGATTATAGTCGGACTAAGGTGTTTACATGCACTTCAGTTGTCCGGTTTTCGGTTTTCTCAAGTGTCACATAAACGTACTGACTGATGAAGGGGAGTGCCCATTGGATAACCCAGAGGATCTGCTGGATCTTTCTTCTTGTTTGGGTTGATGGGATGTTATAGGGACCATGGGAGACTGTGTAGTTCATCAGTAAAGAATACTGGGTGTGGAAATACACCTTATATCCCCCCCTTGTATAGTATATTGTGGTATATTTTTTCACTGTAAAACAAGTGGTGATTCACGCTAGGGCCCGGCCGATTTGATCAGTTGATCTACCTACTGGCATGAAGAGCAGTAGCCTTCAGTACATCTACAGTATATAGTATACTGTAGATATCTACAGTATATTTTTTATAACTTAATAAAATATTTTGAAAAATCGTCAGATTAATTAAGTAACCAGATTTTTTTCCCCCCTAATAAATCGGTGTCAGCCCCAAAAAATCCATATCTGTCGGGCCCTAGTTCACACATATTTCTTAGCTTTTCTTTGTCTGTTTTTTTAATTCAGTTTTTAAAGCATAAACTGAGCCTCCACTTCACTCTCCTTCAGAGGAAATCTGTTTCCCTCTTTTAGTGGATTTCATTCCCCATATTTACAGCCCTGGCACATGCTTCTCTTCTGAGTCTTGTGATTATGTGTGAGTCCATATGTAAGATAAATGCATGAGGTAGATGCTGCCCTGTATTAACGCGGCTAATCTATTGAGTTTAACGTGTTGTGTTTACTGCTTTGCACGCCTAACGCCTTCTGCCATTTCTCCTTTCATGAGTATCATAAACATCACTGACAGGCTGTCCAGCATGATAGAGAGGGAGGGAAACAATCTTTTACGCACACTGAGAGCGAGAGGCGTATGTACAGAGTGGGTGATCTGTGTGGCATATAATGCAAGAGACTTGATTTTTATTATCTAGAGGTGGTGTAGAGAGGGAAAGGAAGAGGAAAGGGATGGAGAGGGAGGAGAGTCGATGAGGGTGGCAGCTGCATTTCCCCTTATGAATCATCTAGGAGGAGCAGCTGGTTTTTCCTCACCTTTTCCTCTTCCTTCCCCCTCTTCCCTCTCTCCCTCGTCACCCCAAATTAGCCGACATCTTCATTAATGTGTCATTACAGCTGAGCCATTCACTGCAGCACACATTCACATTACACACTTACAGCTCATTTGGTTTTGAATGTTTTCACAGACTGACACTAACAAAACTTAAACAGTCCATTTGATAAACTGCTGTGCAGACTGAGGGCATATCAGTTTAAGTAATAAACCACAATTAAACCACCGCTATCCTGCCTGTGATGGTTAAACTGTAAGTTTATGGCCTCATCAGTCATTCTGTGTTGGCTAACAAGACCGTACGTACTACAGGGGGATTTCAGAGTTTCCAGAGGACCACAGTAAATTCTTTATAAATCATCCAGGGCCCTTAAATGTGAAGAGCAGCATTTAGATGACCGGTGGGAACACAGCAGATACTTTATGATTCATCCTGAACTCTTAATAATACAGAGTAAGTACATGGTGACAAGGTGAAGAACAGTGTTTACTTTTTAAATCAGTGTGCACCACTGTGTAACTTTTTCTTAAAAGGACTTTATTTAAAGGACACTGCAACAAAAAAAATCAGTGTAATTATACGGTAATGAGGGGTTAAGTGGATACTTTACACACTAGCTGCTCTCTTAATGTAAATACAGAATAAGAGAGAAATTGGTGGATGCTTTATTAGACAACCTGTGCCTGTGAATAAAATTGTGCACTCACAGGAGAGTAAACAGGATATAAAAAGCAGAATAATAGGCTCTTCATAATACACATAAATGTCAAAGTAGCTATAATAATAAAAGGAGAGTGATTTTACAATCTGCTCTCCGTATAATACTAGAGTTAGACACCCCCTCTAAAGATGAATGTTGCTGACCGCTTGCTTCTCTAGTTATACCAACTTTAGTAACGACCGCACGATAGCAATACACAGCGGTCTAAGGAGCCATAAACAAACCTCAACCAAAACGCCACTCTATAACCACAAATAATACTCAGAACAGCACCTAACTTCATCAACAGTACATATAGGGTCCTAGCCTCAGCACAAGCCACCAAACATCTTTAGCAAAGAGACTAAACACAACTCACCTACTCTCTTCCAGCAGCCGCTTGTTTGTAGCGAGACCTCGGGCCAGTCCATTACAGACTGCTGCAGGGTGACGCAGCTCGAGGAAGAACATTTATGATCATTACTTAATCATTTCCTTGAAGTAATAATCACCATATTAATCATTTTGCACTGTTAGTTCTTCTGCCTCAGTGTCTCGGTCTGATTGCATTTCCATGAGGAAAAGAGAAAAAGAGGGAAAAGAGAGGGACATTGTAGGCTTGAAGTAGGACATACCTGAGATTATACTGTGTAATAACAGGGTACTAACAGGAAAAAAAGCAGTGAGTACTAAATGATACAGCTCCCAGCCTCACTATTATAGAAAAAAGATCTCCAGTCTCTGTGCTCATCAGTAAATCAGTGAACTACTTCAGAGCTCAGTACTCTCCACCTGCAGACAGACAGAGACGTTTTGTCAGACAGAATGAAACAGTTCTGTTTGAAGCACTCCTACATGTTCATTTTCTCTGTCTCCTCTTCCAGCTTCATGGTCTGTGTCTCCCCTCGACCATTTAGGAAGAGGAGATCTCGGGTCAATCAGAGTTGACTGCTGAGTGCACTCTGAGTTATGACCGTGTGTCCACACTCCCCTGTTCTGCCTGCACTGCGCTGGAAGGAGGCCTGTTCACAGTAAACCTGACCCCTGCTGAACCCCTCATCCATAATCCATAAATCCAGTCCAGTCTGTGACACATGCACAGTCAGGTTTCCACTCTGTTTGTTCCAGACCCTCTAAAACCTTTCGGACTCTGAAAGCACACCATCAATATATGTCTTCCCTTAGTGCCTGAACTTAGCACAAGCTATGAAGATGCCACACCAAAGAAACAAAGAAGGAAAATGGCAGGTATTATTAGGAGTATTCCGATATGATATTGATATCGGATATTGGACCGATATCAGCAAAAATTTGAATATCAGATTATATAGGCCTGCATCTAAAATCTCTGATATCAGCTCTCCGATTGAAGCAGTCCATTCCAGACTCCGCTCCATTACCTCTATCTAGCAGCGCCCATATTCCAGCATGTAGAGTCCATGTGATCACAACAACAGTGTGTACTAAAGGTGCAAACAAAGTAGTAAGGAGTAGGAGTGATGTCGGCCCTGTTGCAGCTGAGTGCAAAACTTGTCATGCACAAGTTTGTGCTAATATCGGATCAATATCAGTATCGGCCAATATTGAAGGCTACAGTATCGGTATTGTATTGGAGGTGAAAAAGGTGCATCAGCACACCCCTAGGTATTATGCTGAATTTATGTGGTGTTGAACAAATCCGAAAAACAAGTTCCCAGGTTAGAAAATGCTCACGAATACCTGCTGAGTCAGAACAATATTCATCATCAACATGGTGGGCAAGCATGTTTTTGTTAATGTAGAAATTTATTATGAGTTTACTGATCTCAAATCAAAATCTTTGCTCTTTTTTAACCTTTTACATTGTTGGTTTTATTTCTCAAAATTTTCAGTATTTCAAATTGCTTTTTATTTTGTTTTCTTCTTTTTCTTTGTAAGGCGTCTTTGAGCACCTGTAAAAGTGCATCATAAATAAAATTTATTATTATTATTTGATCTATGTTTATAATACAATCAGTTATTGTCCACAAAGACAGACATAGACTCACTATGAAACTTATTTAATGATATAAGTCAGGAATCCAGAATGTACCTGTTCATAACACTCAGCTGCCTGTGTGTTGAACCACACAGTCATTTCATTCTGAGAAATGACAGGTTTTCAGTCAGACTTAACCCATGTTAGACTTTTATGAACACAGATCATGAACAAAGATCTTTTTAATCCAACTGCTGGAAGAAGAAACGGGTTGATTTCATGTAATTATCAAGTACGTTAACTGCTCCTTCCTATAAAATCTGTGCTATCTAGACTTCTCCATTTTTGCTTTTAGATATAATATCCGTTCAGATGACTATTTTGTTACTGAAATTGACCGACACAACAATAATATGACAGACCGATAAAAAAGTGCCATCTCATGGTTAGCAAAAGAGGCTTCATTTGATTTATCTCTATCATTTTGCAGAAGTCATTAGTCATTCTGTGATGTACCTATCTTATTTTTAGAACGACATTATTCTGTTTAATGTGGCAAGAGGAGGCGGGCATCAGACTGTGCGATCAGACTGTATCTGTTTAATTGTGTGCTGTCTGATAAGGAGTGATACATCTCTGCAGTATTTATTTATTTTGACAGAATATATTTGTCACTTTTTGCAGAAGATATTGATTAATTCAAATGTTTGTGTCTTAATTACTCTGACTTTCAAAGCAGTGATTGTGTGAGACATGTGGCCTCTTTTTTTGTTTTTATTGTCAAGATACACAAAGTTACAGAAAGCCAAGAAAACTTCCCTCTGGTCTGAGTCGTGTTGAGCATAAAGATGAGAGGTGTACTGATGGATATATGTTTGTTTTCTTCATGGTCAGAGATGGTGAATAGAAGTTGTGTATGTCATGTCTGTTATTATTGGTTTATTGAATAGATGTTTTCTTATCTCTGAGTCACACACCCACATGTAGCGATAGTGGGATACTGTGGAATAGCTGAGTGTCTCTCCTCTATTCCTCTCCACTCTGTCAAAAATGATTACATCTGTCCCTGTTTTCTGCTCTCTCTCTGACCCCACAAACCAAGAAGCCACAATCTCAGACACACAGACACACTCTCATCTCTGGATCTGGCAGGATTTATGCACCCTGGCAGCCATGTTGAAGACACTTCATCACTAAAACTTTTACTATAACAGATTTTTTTTTTGTTCATTCGTGAGTTTTTTCACAAACTTGTTGTATATTTTGACTTTTCTTTCTATCTTTGTGAATGACTTTGGGTTGCATACTTGAGAAGTGACATGTAGGCTATTGAAGTTGAATGGAGCTGAGTTAAGTAGGACCTAGTAGCTGATCAAAAGGGTGAAGGTTGACAGACAACAGTTAATTTTGTCAGCTATTTTAGATTTGGTCCTCATCTAAATCTTTGGACTAAAATGAAGCATAGCGGTAGTTCAGGCGGGACACGGAGTCAAGCTACAGGCTACAGTCAGCTGATCTTAAGCCAGCCCTCAGTCAGCTGACAGCTCAGGTGATCACCCTCTTCACATCCTTTTGGCTAATTTCAAAATGGCGCCCTATTGCAGCCCCTGATTGGTCCATGTGTAGATGGTGACGTCTAACACATGCTGCAGGACTTTTCAAAGCGCCGTTCATTTAGAACGCCATTAATTCTGCAGTTGACTTTGCAAAGTCGACAGAAATCGTTTATATCCAACGTCTTCTGCGGATCTACCTATAATGTTCACCTATAACGATAAATGGACAATAACTACTCCACAAGCTGCTCACCCCCTCCCACATTCAGCCGCTACAACTTTTGAACCGTCCTCCATCTCCTCACCTGTCTTTCCTTCTTTGTTACGGACTGGATGGGGTGGAGTCATGCCTCTGACGTAGGACAGCGTCTTAAAGAGACATGAGACCATGGCCTACCTACACACATCCAAAACCGACTGTAATTTATAAATTATTTTGACACGGAATATACCAATATGGGCAAAATGACAATGGTTATTGTCGTAAATTTCAGTGTCTGTAAATTTTCGGTTTATTGCCCAGCCTTACATTTTAGTCATTTTGTTTTAAATAGTATAAGCCTAGTTTCGATTGATTAAAAGTTCAAACACTGAAGTCCAGTTATGGTCATTAAAAAGTAATTAAATTGTAGTCATTAGTTTTAGTTGTCATTTTCTGACCTTAAATTAATTTTATCTTTCAATCGTTTAGAAATATTGGTATTGGTTGTTCCAGTCTTTAAGTCTGTTGTGTTTCACACTCAAACTTTTAATATTTGTGTTCTTCACCGCAATTGCTGATCTCGTTCAGACTCCTTACCAGCTGATCTACTGAGGTACTAAAAGAGATATGATCCTTACTCCAGGTCAAATATCCCTTTTATGGCCGCGATGGTTTTCTTCCTTTGACTTCTTCTTTTTGTGAAGTTGGGAACCAGGCTGAGCCCCCTGTGTTCTTAACTCAAAGAAACGGCCCTGGGCAGGTACAATCTCTGCTCAGAAAGCCTGTCTCCAACATTATAACAGATGGAACATGAGTCCAAGTGAAACATGCTCTGTATCACAGCAGTTGTTTTGATCATTCTAGTTTAAGTGCTGGTTTTCATGTCTTGGAGAAGTTTGGTTTTGATCAGTTAATTAGTTGTCGAAAAGATTGACAGCTCTGTTGATGAATTCACTCTCCTGCATTGTTTTTCTGAACAGATTGGCAGAGGAGAGAGGAAACATAATGAACACCGACTCTGGAGTGATTGAACTTTCCATAATCATGAGTGTTTGCTTCAAACCAACACAAAAATCTGTTCGGCTGTGGACTGTGGATATTTGATGTTATTATTAGTAAGTTTTTGTTTTGGTTAGCAGGTGGGGGTTGACGTCAGCCCCTCTGTTTCACTTCCTAGATCACTTCTGCCTGTGATTTTGCTCCATCCAAGCAATATGTCTGCGCTCACTAAGGCAGTATTTTGGCTTCAAAGCTCAAAGAAATGACTTTGCATTGTCTACGATTCACACCATCATACTTGCACACCTGGAAACCAATTTAGTGCAACAGTGAATGCAAATAAAAACCATCAAACCCTATTTAATGTCATTTACTAGGACATTGTAATGTCACCTACTACTTAAAACTGACCTGCACATTGTCCTTGTCTATCTCAGACCTCATCCTATGATTAAATCCATCTGTAATTACACGGTTAACAAGCCATGTCTAATTATATATCAGCAAGGGGATCATTTTACTCCCCTTTATGTCAATTTGAAATTACATCATCTTCAAACGGTCACTTCTTGACCTGGATCATTGCCAGCAGGGGTTGTCAATGGCAACACATTGAAACATAGTTCAGGGGGTAGAAGAAAGCGCTTCATCTGCCAGGAGCAATCCACCCTAAATGTATTTTATTAGGGGAAAAAAAGGCTTGTTTGATGTAACGCATGCTACTAGCTCTAAACCAAAACTCACTTTGATTTTATGCATAATTACACTTTCTTTGTAGCTTTTGTTTTTTTTTTCTTCCTGCAGCTCATTCACAAGTTTCACTGTAGTCATTAGTCATGCTCATATCAGTAATGGGACAAGCAGCTTTCAGCTATAAAACACAAATTATGAAAAAACATTGAAAGGTTTTGAATGTTGTTTTCTGAAGCTTGGGGAAATTTTTGCAATGTGTATCCATGTTCAGTTGTGAAGCAGATCCCCGTACACTAGAGGTCTGAATATACTGACCCCAGAACTGGTCAGGTAAATGCTCACCTGCTCCCACTGCACTGAAGTCAGACTCAGACTGGAGGAGATTAAGTTGTATTGATGCTGCAGCTGTAACACTGTTTACAACAGCTGCATTTTAGGAAATAATGATGTCAAATCATTATTCACTGCAAATGAAGAGAGAGAGTGTGAACTTCCAGCGCTGCAGGACAACAAGGGCATTTATGATTAGGTTCACATCTGAGAAATAGATGTTTCTATTTAAGGCAATAAGAGCATTGATTGGCTTGTTTGGGCTGTGATTAGAAAGGTTATTGGATAGAGGCCGCAGAGCAGCTGCTGATGAGACTACAGAGGATGAATGGTGGGATTCACTTCCTTTCTCTGTCTTCTGCTGCTTGTATTCAAACAAACACAGCCCTGCTTTTTTGGATGAAGATTAAAGGGATATTCTGGTGTAAAATTAATGTTAGGGTCAAACACACCGTAACACCCCCTTGAGAGATATATGTTAACGACCGCTTGCTTCTCTAGTTATACCAACTTTAGTAACAACCGCACGATAGCAATACACAGCGGTCTGAGGAGCCATAAGCAAACCTCAACCAAAACGCCACTCTATAGCCACAAATAATGCTCAGAACAGCACCTAACTTCATCAACAGTACATATAGGGTCCTAGCCAAAGTACTAGCCACCAAACATCTTTTTAACTTTGCCTAATTTCTTCAGCAAAGAGACTAAACACAACTCACCTACTCTCTTCCAGCAGCTGCTTGTTTGTAGCGAGACCTCAGGCCAGGACTGCTGCAGGGTGACACAGCTCAAGGAAGAACATTTATGATCATTACTTTATCATTTCCCTGAAGTAATAATCACCATATTAATCCTTTTGCACTGCAGACGCGGTAGTTCTTCTGCTTTAACGTCTCGGTCTGATCGCATTTCCATGTAGAAATTACCATAAATGTTCTTCCTTGAGCTGTGTTCCCCCGCTGCAGTCTGTAATGGACTAGCCCAAGGTCTTGCTACAAACAAGTGGCTACTGGAAGAGAGTAGGTGAGTTGTGTTTAGTCTCTTTGCTGAAGAAATTAGTCAAAGCTAAAAAGATGTTTGGTGGCTAGTACTATGGCTGGGACCCTATATGTACTGTTGATGAAGTTAGGTGCTGTTCTGAGCATTATTTGTGGCTATAGAGTGGCGTTTTGGTTGAGGTTCGTTTATGGCTCCTCAGACTGCTGTGTATTGCTATCGTGCGGTCGTTACTAAAGTTGGTATAACTCGAGAAGCAAGCGGTCGGCAACTGTCATCTCTCGACAGGGTGTCTAACTCGGTGTTACGGTGTGTTTGACCATGACTTTATTTTACAGCGGAATATCCCTTTAATATTTATTGGAGAAGAATATACCATGCTTAACTCTGCTGCGTTAACTTTACACTCAAAGTAAAACAAACACACAAAATCATGATTCTTACTCTTGTAAAAGATTTACTGCAGGGATAATGAAGAAACAGTTTTGATTTGATTTAAAATGAGAAGAAATAAAAACTTAAATTGTGCTTCATAAAAAATAAACAGGTACCGACTGATTTAAATAGTGGGCTGTCAAAATAAAAGAGAAAATCAAATAAAGAATTAGTCATGGTTCACAGAAATAGAGTGGATGGATTTTCCACAGATATCTGCTGGAGCTGAGGCAGAAAATGGAAACACAGATTGAGGGATAGTTGCCAGTCTGAGAAAAAAAAAAGCTTAGTTCATGGAGGTTTGGGTTGGTCTGTTCATCAGGAAACATTTCCCACATTTCCCAGCATGCCTCACAGCAGCTGTCAGTGTCCCCCTAACAGCCACAAATGGCTGAGAGGAAACATTTAGTGTAAAAATCACAGTCTGAGGGTGAAAAAAGAGGAGGAGAGTTTGTGTTAGAGCAGAAGAGAGGGCACAGCAGTGATAGCCAGGGGCTTTTTGTGGTTAAATTCACATTTTTTGAATTTAATTTTACGTCTCTGCTTCTCCCTCACACACAGGCAAGGACAAAATCTAGTAAAACGGGAGGAAAGATTTTCAACATGAGCTTCAAGGCAGTGAGTGAGAAACCAGAGACATATCGACACAGAGAGTGGCGGGCGTGCGTGGGCGGTCGGAGATCTAGCAGATTCCTCCTGATGTTTTTTCTGAGGGCACTTTCCTGATCTTTGGGGTCCCAGAGGAGTTTCTCACTACAGACCTCCTTTTTCAACCAGAAAGCACTCAAACTCCAGGTCACGGCACTGTTGGTGATGACACATTAAAAACATGGCTGCAGGGCCGAAACATCATTGTTGCCATAGTGATAAAAGAGCTGGGATGTCTAAAATCCCCAGAGCAAAGAGACTGTAAAATGGTATCACTAATAAATGTAGCTGCTTTTTGCACACAGGGAGCTAAAGGGTGAAATCATCCATTAATCCATCTATTCATTCATCCATCCACTTATTTCCGTTTGCCAATTCAGTGATAGGTTGTGTTCGAAGCAGGAGTTAAGCCAGACGTTCCTCACAGTTTCTCCTGGGACTTTTCGAGTTGTTCACAAGCTACAAATAATCCCTCTAACAAGTTGTGGGTCAGCCTTTGGCCCTCCTCCGGGTGATCAGGAGGCGTTCCGACCAGATACAAGAAAACCACTTCAACATCCCCAAGAAATATACTTCCCTCTGCAGAGCTGGATGCCGTTCCAGTGGTGTGTATCCATGAACTCATTTACAAAACATTTTTAACCCATTTAAACCGGGACAGCATGTACGCATTTCAACCTTCAAGTGTGGCTGCTCATTTCTACTCGGAAAGCCGGGTGCATGTACGCATTTCTACCCTTCAAGCCTGAAGCAGCGTGTACGCATTTCAACCTTCCAAGCCAGCAGCGCCACTGCGCATTCCTACCCTTTATGCTGGGAGCGCGGATACGTCATTTTGTAGCATTCTGTGGTTTTTTAATTATTTCTGGAGTCGTGGCGAATCAAATCACCATACCCGTCTGCCTCCGATAGGCGAGTAAAGCGATCGGATTCATTCTCGGATCTTGCTCTGTGCTTCGTGAGGAAAGTAAACAACGACGGAGGCAGAGAGCAGCTTCGGAGAAGAAGCATCCAGCAGTGTGAACAACCTCTTCATATTGAGTGCTTTGACTTACACTATCTGCGATTTCTGTGAGTGTTGCATGACTTTGGGGTGAGCACAGAGATGAACACACTGTCAGTCACTTATTTATTTTTTAATTTCTAGTGCTGCTTTTGTACTGGCACTATACTCGGGCAGCTGTTTACCCTTTCAACACCTGTTTTACAGAAAGCAAAGTGCAGAGCCTTTACTTTTAATTATACAGCCGCTTTACTTCATTTGAGTTTGTTTGTTCAAGGTTTTCAATAAGGTGATGAAAGTTTGGAAAAATAAATGATAGTTATTCTCTCAAATACTTTTTGAATTTTGTTTCTATCTGCTCCAGAGGCTGAGATATCAGCGTTTTTGTAAACCTCAACACTTCAGAAAACCTCAGGATCTTGGGGCCCTTCTTAAAATGGCCCTCAGGATTTCAGGGGCGCGTCTCAGACAGGGTTCAGGTCTTTATGGGTTAAATGTGTCTTTACAAAATCCCAAATCATTTAAAAGTCCGTGAGACAAGTCAAATCTGAAGAACTGTGGCACAATGTGAAGATTCATCTCGACAGTCTCATATTTTCTACTTGACAGCGTGATCGATGTTAAAGTAAAAAAAAACTAAAGATAGATGATTTGATGGCAAAATCATGACATTTTATTTAGTTTTGCAAACTTTTTCTTCTTCTTTTTGGACTCCTAAATGTATTTCAGCCATATTGACCCATCAGTGAACGTCTGTGTCCTTGCAATAGGATTATATGTGATTCTGTTAAAAAACAAACATTTAACACAAACCCACAGGGCCTTTATTTAAAGTGAGACGGCCATGCTCCTAATCAGATTATCTCCCACTCTGTATACAAACTTAATTCACCCTCAGTCAACATTTGCTGTGTGAACACAACAGAACAAATAAACAGAATTTCTTGGTTTGCAAATGTAAAGGGATGGAGGATTATTTGCTCTGTCTCTGTAAATGAAGACAAACAGAAAGAGTAACAACACAGAGATGTGCAGGCCTAGAGTGACTGAGCCCCTGAGCGCTTGACGCAGGTGAAGCTGCATGAGATGTGACCCTGAAGACGACTTCTTGTCTGATCTTGATGTTTTTCTTTGTCAGAGGGAGCCTTATTAAATCCTTTGAACAGAAAGTACGAAAAAAGGACACTTTGGCACGTACAGGCTTTTATAGACGTGGTGTGAAATCGTCTGTCGACACTGCGGGCGGTTGTTTTTAGAAATAAAGCTCCTCAACTCTCAAATGTTCATGAAAGAATAAAACATGAATCTCCCACCAGTGTCACCTGCATGTGAAGAGAAACAACAGGGTCCACCACGTCCCTTTTTCTCACCCACTACGGTCATTTTCACACATCTGTGGAGGAGGGTGTCGTCATATTTTACATCAGTTGTACTTTTTCTGTCCTTTCTCTGCTTTTTCAGACTTCAGTCACACTAACAATGACACTATCGGGTCAATGTTCGTCACGGTGAACAAAGATAGATTCTCAAAGGTTATTTTTCCAACACTTACTCAGGAGCTGAATTGTAACTAAAATTGTCACCCTGCAGGACACATTTTTGGGATGTTATTAGGGAAACGTCAAACCAGACCACCCACAGATGATGAAAAAGCAGTCAGAGTGTTAAAGAGTTGAAGTCTGGTAGGAGTATGATATTTTTAAAGGCTGCCTTTCAGTCGGTTTATTCTGTGTCATTGTCACACGAACACGTCTAAACCTATTCATGAATGCCAAGAGTTTCTTTTTCATTTTTTTAGGTGTTCTCAGCTCTTTCTGTTAAAACGATAATTATATTATTAATAAGAAACTCACTCTGGGGTTGTTCAGAGTGTCAGCAGCCAAACAGAAAATCTGAAGGACGTGGATAAAACAGATGTTTTACATTTTTGATAAACCTCGACCTTCATCGACGAAAATCTGGCGACTGACAGCCAAGTGGGAAAAAGATACTTTATGAAATTCAGCTTGTTTAAAGTATGGAGTAACTTTCAAGGTGAATATGTCTTTAATTCTAGTTAAAGAGACTTTATCACACTGAAAGAGTGGCACTGGAGTCAAATCTTAATCAGAACTTTTTGAAACTCTTGAAATATTAAAGAAAAATAAGAATTGAAAAGAGAGTGGTCCTTTAAATTTTGATAATTTGTCCTTTCCTTGACAGCTCCCTTGGCTTCTTTCCAGTTTATCTGACTTTTACTTTCACTGTCAACTTAGCAGTTTGGGTTTTTGATACTCTGGTTCCTGCTTCCTCCCTGCATCACTTTTCTCTCATCGTCGGTGTCGTTCATCTTTTTCCTCCTCTTTTTCACTAAAGGACATCATTCCTCGCTGATGCAACCAAGCAGTGTTTTCACCAACACCTGCTGACTCTCGATGTAACCTGGTCAATGACGGATGTCGGGGTCGAAAACAACAAAAAACAACAACAGACAGAGAGAGCAGAAACATCTGTCAGAATAACACCACGCTTCATCTCTTTGTTATTGAACTCAACATCATGCTGCTTTTAGATTTTCCAATCCTTTACTCTTCAGTTTCATTAGAGTAGAGAGAACTGTCTCTGTCAACCAAGGGTTAGTTAACTTAAGTATAAGCTGATTCAGTGTATCAACGGACTGTCATTTCAGTTTTGTTTAAGCTGAGTATGTTAAGTAGAGCTGGGCGATAAACCGAAAATTCACAAAAAACAAAATTTACAACAATAACAGACGTCATTTTGCCCATGCCAATATATTTGATGTCAAAAAATAATAAATAAAAGTTGATTTTGGATGTGCGTAGGTAGGCTATGGTCTCATGTCCCTTTAAGATGCTGTCAGAGACGTGACTCCACCCCATCCAGTCCATAACAAAGAGGGAAAGACAGGTGAGGAGATGGAGGACGGTTCAAAAGTTGTAGCGGCTGGAGTAGACAGTTAATGTGGGAGGGGGTGAGCAGCTTGTGGAGTAGTAGTGAACTGCTCAATATATCATGATATTGATTTGAGGCCATATCACCCAGCCCTGATGTTAAGCCATAGAACTTGAGATTTGGCTCATCATCACAAGCATAAAGGCGTCCTGTTTCTCCTGCATGTAAAGCAAAAAGTCAATAGAGGTAGGAAGGTGTGAATATGCGCTCAGGATAATAGTGCAGCCTAAAATCAGGACATGAGATCATATTTAATGTTTTCTGAAATTTCCCCATAATGTTACAGGCTGTTATTTAAAAAGTGTGTGTAATAGTTGACATGATATCCAGATGATAAATTCACTGAAAGAGAGCAAAAGACAGATGTGTCACTTTGTGGTCATGCAGGAGGAGCATAAATGAGACTCAGAAGGGACATGATGTTCTCACAGAGTAATGTCAAGTCTGAATGAAAATCAGGACTCACTCTGTGTGTGTGTGTGTGTGTGTGTGTGTGTGTGTGTGTGTGTGTGTGTGTGTGTGTGTGTGTGTGTGTGTCACTGCATGTCCCAGCAGCTGCTATTTATATTCCTCCATGTTTCTCACTGTAAACACTGACCCCAATCTGCGTCTGATGAATGGCTATGCCTTCATGAATCCCATGATACCCGGTCCGGTAACATTGCTTCTCCCCCTCTCTAAGAATGTGGCTGTTGTCATGGAGATCATCCCTGCAAGAGCTGCATGCCGTTCCTCCAAAACTCAACAACTTTTGTTGTGTGTTGTTTGTATTTTGCTTTGCAGAGATGACCTGTCATCAGACAGCCTGGAGCATGTTTTATTCATCCATTCAGTCATGTGCATTATCTATAACTTATCTCTTACACTCAGACAGCTCTGCGGCAGATATTATACGACAGTGAAGAAGAAGGTGAGAGTATTTCTTCCTCACTGTCACCTACCCTTGCCCAGGAGAGCAGAGCTAATTTCCATTTATGTTTCCCCAGGAGGGAAAGAAGTAAGGGAGGGCGGAATTAGAGGTGGTGTAGTTGTGTGGCGCTTGTGGACGTATAATTAGAAGAGTGACCTCTGTGAACACTGTACACAGTGTCGCTGTCTTCAGCATGTCATGTCAGAGAGGTGATGGACTCTGTCCTCCTCTGAGCTGCATTATCACTGAATCTTCTCATAATGTGCCTCCACCTGCTCACTCTCAAATATACAGAAAAAGCTCTTTCACTTTATCTCTCATATATACTGCATCTCATCTCCTCGCGCCTTATGTTTCATATAATCAACCGATCACATCTGAGACCTCCACCCACCAGTTCCAGGTCAAAAGGTCCCTTTTAAGCTCTTACTTTTACATTTAAACAAACCATTTTTCTCTTTTGCGAGCACAAATATCTGAAAGCTAATGAGATGATTTTTTCATCACAGACTGAATGGTGGTTTATGGAAACCCCAAGCTTGAACCTTAAGAACCTTAAGACTCTGAAATAAATATTCTGATCTTTAAATTGATTTACATCCTCTTTATTTACTGCTTCTATGGCTCATTTGTTGTTATTGGGTCATTATTGTAATTGTGTTTTTGCTAAATTAATCAAAGTTCAGTCACTGAATATTTTGAACATCTTTTGATGATTTGGTTTGAATTTCAAGTTAAAAGTTACATCCTCTAAAATGTCACTGTCTTATTTTATCTCTCGAAGTCTTTCATTCAAATTGAAGCAGTCCTTTTTGGATGTGGAAAGACTGCAGAATAAATTGGTTGATCAGAAATTAATGTCGCTTAAACTAGTGAACAAATTAGTCGGTAGTTGTAGCCAAATTGGCAACGACCAGAAAAGTGAAACAGACAGTATAATTCAAAACTTGCATGAGAGGAGTAAAATACAGACTGAATACCTTCCTGCGATGGCTCCTATGTCTCTCTTCCACATTAAATTGACTTTGCAATTCATTCCAAGGTGCAGCATGAATGCATAATTTCATATTTCAGTGCATTTGTCCCTGCAGAGCATCTATTTCTCCATACCATTTCAGCTGATGTATATATCTGCCTGTAATATCTCTGGTTGTATGAGGCCATAGTGGAAAATAAAACAGGCATTATCAAGACAGGATTCTTAGTATTCAGCATCATCGCGTCTTTCCTATAGTGGAACTTCTGGCATTATTGTGTTACTGCTTTACAGAAATGTTCTTTAATGTATAATATACAGTTAACAGATGACTTCTTGTTTGGTGCAGGGTGTGTGGTAAAATTACAATCAGTGTATTTACATGCACAGTCTAATCGGACTAAGCTCATAATTTGTTTTTGTTTGCCGAATCAGACTTCTCTCCTTCTCTGTATATACATACAGCTGAGAAAATTGAATTATTGATGTGAACATGTCTTCCTCCACAAAACTAGGGGGCGATATGGGTCTTTTCAGCGGCACTGTTTTCGACCCCATACAATCGTCAACAACAACAGACGTCAGAAGAGGCTACAACTGCTGCTGGGCATTTTTCGAGCAAGAAGATGGAGCAGCATGCAGCGTTGCTTTTGTCGTACATGATGTACGCGCTATTTTTTCTGGAGATGAGGTGCACGCCACTTCTCTTCTCTGGTGTTTTTGTTCCGGGGTTACGGGGGCGTGGCGCATGTGCATTGTCCAATCATACTCCAACTACACTGGTTACATGGTAGAGAAAATAGAATTCCAATCACATTATCTAAGTGTCTTAAGCAGGGTACACACATAAAGATAATCAGGCTTTTTTCGTCCCGATTTTCCCCCTCCCAACCAAGGACGACAATCGGAAGATTATCTTATGTCTTCTAAGATTATACTCTAAGATTATCCTGTGGTCTGAGGTGTATTAAGAGTGAATTTGTCCCGATAAATGGATCCAAAACGGGTCAGGGCCGACAATCGTAAATACCAAACTTTTTCAATATTTACGACCAAAAATCTCCACGTGTGGGGAAAGCCAACGACTCCCGAATCATGACTCCGTGAATTGTCACGTGAAACGGAATGTAGCCAATCAAGAAGCGAGCTGACTGAGGGACAAGGAACCAAATAAAGTGAATAAAAATATTATCGGAGCACACCACACAGAGTACGATCAAAACTGTTCAATGCCTGATCTTTTTCTTCATGTGTGGGGTCTGTAACACATAAAAAATCTTATATATATATATATATATCTTAATCTTATAGTCGGACTAAGGTGTTTACATGCACTTCTTTGTCCGGTCTTAATCAGAGTAAGGCAATAATTCAGTTTTCTTGAGTGTCATGTAAACGTACTGAATGTTTCATCACTTCTTTGCAAAAGGGGATTACACTCTTTGGTTTAAGTATCAGAGGCATTTTAATTCTAGTGAAATTTCTATTTTATAGCGCCATGTCATATTTTATGATTTCAAAGAAGAAAACCATGACCTGGGCTGTAGGATAAACCTTATGATGGAAAACATTTTATAGTTACCGTGGATTTGATTTATTTTATTGAATCTAAAAGTGAAACTAACTACTTGAAAAGAAAAACTCAGACATTTCTGCTGAGCATAGTCTGCTCTCACTCTCTCCTATCACACTGTCTGTCTATAAATAATTAATCACAATTCTAGTGTTCACTTCCTCTGGGAGGAAATTTCTCGCCTCAGGAGAAAAACCTGCAAATGTCTGAGGGAATTTTTTTTCTCCGCAGCTTCACATGTCAAACAGATAACACATCAGGCTGAAGCAGACGACAGGTAAGAGCTCCTCTCCACAACTTACTGTCTTTGAAACCAGGTGTGTTTGAGTTCAGTGTTCAGCCTCAATAGAAAACATCCCCTTCACAAAAAATGTAACATGAATCAGTGAGTAAAAATGTCCTCCACGTGAGCTGTGTTAGTGATCGAAGCACAGAGAGGAGAAACTGTGAACTTTGTAGAGAGTTTATTCTGATCCTGAGGCTGTATGAGGAGTCAGACTGTTATCAGCTCAGTGTTATAACAGAGGAAGCCGTCATAAACTCTCATCTTATGACCCCAAAGTTAGACTCTTAACTCCAGTTTGAGCACTTTTCTACTATCTCCAAACCTTTTCATTATGAATCAAAGATGAATCTTTGAATCTTGCCAAAGAAGAGTCCTTTTAATAAAATACAATAATCCTTCAAGTCAAGCCTTTACTTTGACCTCAAAGTCTTTTTATTGCTTTCAAAAAAATCCATGAAATAAACAGCGAAATCAAACAAAGAGTCATTAGAGATGGCTTACAGCTAAGGTTAAGGGCTCTATTTTCCTGCCCGCCGGTGACGCGGCGGAGGGTGGCAGACCCCGCACAGTGGTATTTCCCTCTGGCGGAGCCCAGCGTACAGCCGCTTGGTATTTTCGCAGACTGAGGCGCACCGAGGTCCGCCAAGCTGGCGAAAACAGGTCTCGGCTGTGGTCAGGTCCCACTCCACGCCCTCTCTACGACTTATGCCGCTGGGAGGAGCTGAGTTAGGGAGGGGGGATACATACGCTGGGCTGCGCCGCTCACCAAAATATCAAAATTTGCTTGGGCACACCTTGTCAGCGCACCTTGTAGTGATGCATTAAGCTTTATGCTTTACGCTCTTTGACTTCAACCCTCCTATCTCTTCAAACATCTAGATGATATTTTCCTTCCACAGTTTCATCCTCCCTCATTCGGTCCTTTCTTTCACCATTTGTCTCCCGCTATTCATTCCCTTCTCTTAATGCCACCTTTAAAGCAAGAGGTGCACCACAGACAGGAGTGGGTTGAAAAGTTAGTCCTCAGAGGAAGCCAATTTACTTCTAACATGAAAGAGAGACAGGATCTTTCTTCCTGAAAGTGGCTGTCGATGCTTTCTACAATAGACCAAGAGGGTGTCAAACTGTCCTTTGAAATCGATAGGAAGACATTCCTCAGTAACAGACATTTTATGGAGCAGAAAAGGATAAAAATGCCCTCTGAATAACAGAGCCACAGAGCTGGAATTCAACACAACACTTTATTTGATCAGATGTGAGCACTTTTAGAGCCATTCGGGAGCTCTCTGGTAGAGTTTGTGTTGCAATTGAAGCCTCTGGTCCTCCGAGGAGTCACAGCATGATAAAGCTCTACTGCAGGGGGCAACTCAGGGGGGTCACAATACAAGCTGACGTGCATTTTTGTTAACTGTTGTGTAAGATGTTTGCATTAGAGAAAAAATGAAAGCATAGTACACATGGTCAGAAATGTTGCTCTTGGCTGTTTGTTCAATTCCACCGAGTGAGCTGTGTGAGAGAGAAAAGGGTGATTGTGAGTCAGAGCTCTGTATCCTCAGGGATTCGTTGTTTAACCAAGGTAACAGTCGTGTGTGCATGTGTGTGTGATGGGGATAGAGGTCAACAGATTACATATGGTGACTTTTACAGGAAACGGGGCCTACAGCAGCTCCACCTCTGACATTACACAAAGCTTCCCTCTCACTGACCTTCAACAGAACATGACTGAACCTCAATAAAATATCCTTCAATGGCGAGATCCTTCAATACAGCAAATCGCTTGACACTCAAGTGGGACTAGTTGGAAAAAAAAGAAATTGGTGTTCTAGGAATAGTGACAAAAATCATATGTTGAACTTCTTGCTGTCTAGCCTCGGGAAAACTCTCTAAATTGCTTGAAGACCTCCAGCACGGTGCAGTGAAATCTGGCAAGGAATTTTTTTTTCTAAATAATGTCAAAAAAAAAAAAAAAACTTGGTTGGTTGGATCTGAATATGACCGGTAAAGGACAGCATTACACTGGATAACATACATCCTGCCGAAGAAGAAGAAGTGGAACAAGAAAAAGACGCATCAGCCAGCGGCGACAGCAAATTTCAAACGATGGATGCCAGGTGCATCAATCCAGGAGAAGAAATGGCGAAGAAATGGCGAGGCTGGAAACGATGGAAAGCCTCAAGGAAGCTGGTGCCGAAAACCGAAAGAGCCAGGTGCTTGTTTTTGTGTGTCATGTGCCAGAAAGCTAATTTATGGCAGCAGTGGAACAAAGTTCGGTAAAGTTGGAAAGATATTCATAGATTCGGACTTCTGGGATCAATAACTCTGAGAGGAAATGTTGTCTAAACACAAATGATGCCTCTTTCATGTCATAATAGCACAGACTACTAGCTACAAGAACCAAAAATTTATTTGTTTTTACAAAAACAAGCTGTTCTTCGAGCTGGATGAGTGCGCAGGGATCGTCTGTAAATTACGATACCAGAGCAAGATGCTGCAAACAAAAATCAATAGCTCCACTGTTATACAGTAGATCCCGAAATCACCACACACACACCAAGGGACTCTTCATACAACAACAGCTGTTTTAGGAAAATGTGCCTTTTTATAATTTTGGTGAATTTTATTGTTATGAATCATTAATATCGTCCAATATTAATCAATAGCTCCACTGTCATATAGTATCACCTCTGGTTAGGAGGACTAGGTGAAATAGCAAAAAAAAAGGTGTGGAAAGAAGAGTTGCTAAAAAGAAGAATAAAGGAGAGTAGGTGGAAAGGTTTGAATTAAGAGAGGAAGGATTGAGTTGTGGTCCAGATCCTGAAACATGTTTATAAAACACTTTCTCTAGCCTTCTGAACACTCAAAGCACTTATGCTACATGTCACCTTCACCCATTCACTCACTGAGAGGCTGCTATCTAAAGAGCCCATCATTGTATGACTTATCCCATCCAAACACCTTTGACGCAGCCAGCAGGTTTGGTTGGGGTCAAGTATCTTGCGGAATCACTTGACCCTCCAATTGGGAGATGACATCTAAGCAACAGCAGCAGCATCTGAATCTCCAACTAAATCGATGTCACAAGCAGAACCAGAGGGTTTGATGGTTGTGGTATTTTTGGCAGTATTGGTCTTTTTGGTGGTGTTGACATTATTTGCTTTATTGGCCGTGTTGATTGACAGTGTTTGCTGTAGGAGTTTTGGTGGTATTGGGGTTTTTGTCATTTTTGGTTGGTCTTTTGGGCGATATGGTGTCATTGGTAGTTTTGTTGGTACTGTCTTTTAACGGTCTCTTTTAGGGTACCGGTAGTATTGGATGTATGGTTTTGGAGTAAGGGGTTGTGAGGGGAGTAAGGGGTTTTCGAGGGTTCTCAGCAGTATTGGCAGTCATGACCCTCTTGGTCTTTTTGGCAGAACTGGTGTCATGTAACATTGTTAAACAAAAACATACTATAATTATCCAAATAAAAAAATCCCAAAGGCAAAAAACACAAGAGGCAAAATCTAAAGAACCAAAATGGGGCAAAATCACAGGGAGCGACTGGGAAAACAGACATGAGCACACACCAACCAACCAACAAACATACATAATGAACCAACAAGAAACAGGGGAAGACAGGGACTATATATACACACACGGGGAAACGAGCAACGAGAGGCAGGTGAGACACTGAGACACAGGTGCAGACAATCACTGAGGAGGGAAAACTGAGGAAGTAACACAAGACTAGAAACACATGGAATAAATTACTACAAAATAAAACAGGAAACACTGAAAACTGATATAAAGAAAAAAACAGTGAGAACATGAGGGAAACAGGGTCAGACACAAACTTAAAACTCACAAGACAGGATGAAAGGGGAACAGGAACACTAGGGAGCAGAAACACTCGGAAAAACACAAGAAAATACACTTAATTGATCAAAATCAGAGGAAAACTAATTACTAGAACACATCATGACAGTCATTAGCAGTATTTATCGACAGGATTATTTAATTCAGATCATTCTAAACCATTTGAATTGAATCATTATTGAGCAGCTAACACATCCTGAACACATTCCTTGAGCCCAAAATCAATATCCACAAACCTTGACAGAGGATAGCTAATTCACTTACAAATGTAGCAGCTGGTTTAACAAAACACCAATTTAAAATTTCTGCTGTTTTACCTCAATACAATCATTATTCAACAAACTATATCAATCCATTAAATTTTATCCTCTTTGCCAGAGATCGGTGTAAATGAAGCATTTCTTGTAAACAGCATATTCTGTCAGAGAACAGATCTGCCCCAAAGCAGTTTGAACTTCTTTTCTTCAAACTTTAATAAAATTGCGAGGTTTTTGTTTCTTCTTATTTTGCCTTTCAGCCTTGTCCATAACTCACACATACAAAGACAAATCCATTTCAGTCTCCACATTTCATCTGCTGCTTCAGGGAGTTATTCTGTGAGTGTCTTTAATGGTCATCACTCCCTCCGGCTCTTCTTTTCTAACCCTTTTTTCGTCCATGTCAGGCCCGTTTGCCTGTAATTAGCCTCAAGTCAAAGACCAAAGATGTCCTTCAGATCCTCTCCTTTATGTGCATGTATTTCTAAAAAGTCTGCAGTATGAATTTCATCCTCCTTTCAAAGCCAAACCTTTGGTAATACAGTCACATCTCAAGTGTGTCTGGATATAAAAGGAGGTTTTTCAAAGGGAGTCTTTTATGAAGCAACAGTGTCAGATAGTTACCTTGTTGTCCTTTTGTTTTCTTTTCCCCACTCATCAGCAGACGTCTGTCAGAAACTGTAATTTCATGCTGAATGGTGCAATGAGCTGTGGCATGTTTTAGCTGACTGCAAAACAAAGACGAGGGGCTCTCACCTTACTGCCGTCCTGTGTGCCCCTGTGTGAGTGTGTGTGTTTGTGTCTGAGTGTGTGTGTGTTTATTGGCTTTGAGTATGTGAGTTGGACAGCAGCCGTGAGTATTCGCACGCTCCAGTTTTAACGGCCACATCATGAACAAGGTCAGAGGACGAAGGCATGTGGGCCCAGTGCCAGCCGGAGCGAGCTGTGACATGAGGAGGACAAAGTCATAAAGCAGCTTTGATGTGTTTTACCATAACTTTGCTCCAGGCCCAGCATTAAAACTACAACTCTGGATAATGGCTCCTCCAGGGCCCATCATTCAAAATCTCATGTCCAACCTTTTCAGCACTGAGTGAAAAGTACACTGTACTTTTTTTTTTCTCATTTAGAGGGTGATTGATGGAAAGTCATGTGATCTAGACCTCAGTTCTACAGCCTTTAGAAAGTGATTTCAGGTGCTCATAGTGAACATGAACAAGTGAGACTCTTCTGCTCGGCATTAATGCTGCGTTCCAGTCATAGACTGTATATAGAATGGACGCCGTCTGCCTCCTCGCTGGGTGAAACCACCCGAGAACAGCACCCTCTGGTGACAGGCTGCAGTATAGGTCATTAATCCCGCCTCCACCAGCCATCCCTATGGAGCTGTGGACAAACTTTAGACATTTATTGGGCAGAATATAATTTTTTCTCCCCCCTGCTTGACATGTTGACATGTAGTTACTGTCAGACTGGTTTGTGCTCAAGTCCTCTTTTTTCTGTACATTTTTAAAAGTTATTCAGGGGTTCCCGTTTCCTATGATTGACACTTAATACAGCCTGTGGGCGTACGAAGGTCGCGTAGCTCACCCGAGGGAAACGCTGTTTGATAAAATTCCTACTCAGAACTCAGAAATCCTGACTTCCCAGTACAACTGGAACGCAGCATAACTACTCTAACATAACGGCTGAATTCAATTTACTTTTACTACCATGCATTCAATTTTTGTGCTCCTTGGAGAAGTGAAACAGTGATTGATAGAGTGAGTAAATCTCAGAGTTTTTGATTTGTTTTATTTTTGTGCACCTTCTGCACTAAAAAAAAACAAAAAACACTGTCAGTGTATGGGATAGTACTGTATGACTGTATCTTTGCTTGTATATAAGAGTGAGAGAAAACAATAATTACTATTGCAGTTGTATTCACTAAGGGTTATATATTCAATATGATGCAAACCAAATTTTACTCCATCCTGTTTGGATTCAACACGAGTACGAACACTGAAGCCCTGATGGTTTGGCACGCCTCAGTGCTTCACTTTCATCTGTGCAGACTAAATCAGTCACTCATGTCATCCATAAAAAGCTGTTTCTGAGATTAAATCAGTCAACATTTATCTTGGTTCACTCAGTAACGTCCTTCATGCTTCAGACCATCAACATAAAAACGATCAAACTCTCTCTGGCTTAAAGAATCTGATTTTCATGCAGCTGATGGTGTGACCAAATATCACAAATGCCCGTAGTAATATATCTGTGATTTCCCTCATTTGATTTCCACTTTTAGAGTTTTTTTTCCACTTAAATTGTCTGTAAAAAGCCAAATTGTGAGAGGCTTTAGTATACCATATAGGCTGTAAAGCCCTTGAGGACATAATGTGATAATGGATGGGGCTGTGTAGACTAAATTGTCTTGACTTTGTACTTCCTCAGGTTTGGTTTTATTTTTCTTGCACACTCTTCTGCCTTAAAGCTTGTAAAGATAAGAGATGATGTGGAAGTAAATCAGCTCTACAAATGTCAAGAGGAAACACTTTCAGAGGATGGACCCAGAATGACGCAGTTACACTTGACATCCGAAAAATCAATAAGTAAATCTTATATATATGTGTATTTAATGACGGCTAAAACAGCTATTGCTGACTAATTTTAATGGCCATGTTGGGGTTGGTTCAGCTGAAATCCTTAATAAAGCTTATTTGACTCTGTGGTGTATTGTAAGCCATACAGAAAGGGCATATTTAATGAAGACTAGATAGAACTTTATCTAGTCTGTGTAAGGTCGAAGTAGCTGCACCCTCTGTTTTAGTTTTTTGCCCCTTTCCTTTCCTTCTCAGTTTTGACTGACACACAAACTGATTTACATGTTTGCTCAGTAAAGTTTTGCATCCTCTGTTGGATTTATTGATTTCTTTGGCTAAAATTCTGTAAGCTATGAAACAAACTTTCCCTTGTCCTTATTCTGAATTACATCGTTGTGCAATAAAACACCCAACATACCCCCTAGCCTTATTTTTAGGTGGGCTTAAAGGTCAGAGGATAACAGCTTTCTTTCTTACTCTTGCCTGAAGAGACCTCTTGTATTGTCAGCCTGCTGCCATCCTCTCCCAGTATCCACCAATCCTTCAAGCTCAGGAGGAAAAGAGTGAGGATCTGTTGACCTTTACTCTGATGGAAATGAAAGGTCTGATATCCATCGCTCTGGATCACCGTCCTCCTGCCTCACACATTCACTCAGAACGATCTGACAGATGGATAAAAAGATGGAGGGATGGATAGAAAGTTTGCTGCAAACCTTACAGTAACACAAGTCAATCCTGCACCGCTCACTGTGTACAAATGAAGTTGTATTCTATAAATCCTTGGTTTAGTCGATTTCATCGCTTTGAATAAACACAGCTGCCGTCCGCACCTGGTGCATAAATCCTCTGCTGAGTAAACAGTAAATTACCTGCATCTTAACAGGTCAAACTGCATCTGTTCCCTTTTTCTTGAGCGTAAAACATCATTTTCATAAGAGATAAACGATATACGTGCAGATAAAAATCCCTTTATAGATGAAAAGAGTCGATTAAAAAAGTTAAAGCAGTTTGATTGGAACTGAAATATCACAGCTTTACTTCTTATCTGCCTCATTATCACCAGCGAGGTGTGCATGTGCATCACTGTGTTGAACTCGATATCTGCTCAGTGTGAGGTGTTAATATACCACCTGATACAAGAACATTGTTGATGATCGGGTATCAAGGTTTAATTCTCACACAACATAATTGTGTTCTAACATTTCAATACACGGCAGCTCACAGCCCACATGCATACTTGGAGTATACGTGTTGCATTCAGGTTCACATTGATAAACCTTCATAATCACTGTGGATAGGAGACTATAGGTACATAACTTTGATTGTGTCTTTGACTCGCTTTTATTGAGAGCAGTATTCATAATGCAGATGTATTTTCACTGGTGTTTCACTGTAAAAAAACATTACTGCTGTACAATTGTCGCACTGAAACTTCCTGTTTAAATCCAAACAACGGATCGATGAGAGGAAGACCCCGTTTGTCACGTGACGTCAGCTCGTGATCTTATTTGATCTCCTTCCAGCAGCTTCTCCATCATGGATGCTTTAAAACTCTCACTGTGGATCTCTGTCCGTAAATTTCCCTCTTCACAGAGCTCATTTGAAACACCAGGCCTGCAGTGATACTCGCTGCATTATTTAACACCTGTGTGTGTTTGTGTGTGAGTGTCCAGGTATGATTTCATCTACCTCTTCCCAACAGTAATATCGGAGCTATAAGCCCACGCATTAGTCTGATGCAGCTTTTTCATAAATACTATATTCTTGAAAGTGTGGCCTCTTCTCCCATAACACACCCCTGCAGGCACAGACCTGTCTCTATGAATTACTGAAGCAAAGACAGAATCTGAAACCAGAAGAACAGACTTCAGAATCAATCTTAGACTCAAAAAGGTGTCTTTTACACTGACCTCACCTTGTGTTTTATTTCCTGTGACCAAGGCATGCCATCCTGGCACCTGAACATAGGTGTTAACTTTTTTACAAACAGGCTTTGACACAAACTCCATCCTGCTGCTGCCAGACTTTAAATTTGCGCTCCTCTCTGCTCCTTCAGTTTTCTGTTTCAGCATGGATTGTTTCAACCTTCCTGCACCACACTCACCACCACAAATCTTTTTAGCTTTGCCTAATTTCTTTAGCAAAGAGACTAAACACAACTCACCTACTTTCTTCCAGAAGCCGCTTGTTTGTAGCAGACCTTGGGCCAGTCCATTACAGACTACAGCGGGGTGACGCAGCTCAAGGAAGAACATTTATGATCATTTCTTCATGGAAATGCAATCAGACCAAGACGCTTACGCAGAAGAACTACCGTGTCTGCAGTTCAAAAGGATTAATATGGTGATTATTACTTCAAGAAAATGATAAAGTAATGATCATAAATGTTCTTCCTTGAGCTGTGTCACCCCACTGTAGTCTGTAATGGACTGGTCCGAGGTTTCGCTACAAACTAGCGGCTGCTGGAAGAGAGTAGGTGAGTTGTGTTTAGTCTGTTTTCTAAAGAAATTAGGCAAAGTTAAAAAGATTGGTGGCTAATGATGTGGCTAGGACCCTATATGTACTGTTGATGAAGTTAGGTGCTGTTCTGAGCATTATTTGTGGCTATAGAGTGGCGTTTTGGTTGAGGTTTGTTTATGGCTCCTCAGACCGCTGTGTATTGCTATCGCATGGTCATTACTAAAGTTGGTATAACTCGAGAAGCAAGCGGTCGGCAACATTCATCTCTCGAGGGGGTGTCTAACTCAGTGTTACAGTGTGTTTGACCCTAAATTAATTTTACGCCGGAATATCCCTTTAACATTGATTTTTAAATCTTGTGAAACAAATTATTGTTCTCCTGTAACTATAGTTTCTCCTGATTTATCTAAATTTGTAAGGAAGGCTGATTTATTTTTTCTGATCTTGTTTCTTGATTGTTCTCACTGCAAATGTTACGGTACACACCCATCCTCTCAGAGATCGTTCAAAGCAATCAATTAACGAAACAAGTGTGATTGTACTTCAGCCCTTTAAACAGGGAGTCTAATGAGCTTTGAGTGTCAGATGAGCTATCACTGTGATTAGAGTCTCACCATAAGTGATCACACACAGAGTCAAATGTTAAATCTTTAAAGAATAAAGATTGACTCATAATGAGAACAAAGACGTTGTGCTGTCCCCTCCTATCTGGAGGATTCAGCCAACAAATCCATTTAACCTTGTAACATACAGTATGTGTATCTGTTTGAGTGTTTCCTTTTGTTCTCCCATCGACATACATCGGTCTTTCTGTGCTCAACTGTTTATCTATTGTACCTTTGAATCACAGCAGCTGCAGACAGAAGCTGATATTTCTCCCGGTCGTCACTCTCATTAAATCTGTGAAATGTCTCAGCTATCTTTCACGACCTCTATTTTCTCCCTATTCCTACAGTCTGCCACTTCTTCCTGAGACTCAAACTTCTTCTAAATGCATTTAATCTCTTCTTAAACCTCTCTCCTCTTCCCAAAGTACCAGCTTTAGACAGAATAAGAACTGATGTGTCTTTGTGAACTTTGCCCAGGTCGGAGATAACCACGTTGAAAAACCCTACCAAACCCAAGATGACCTCTGAGTATCACCAGCTGATGTTGGCCAGAGAGGAGAGTCAACAGTGCAGTGTTGATGCTGAGCCCCCTGCTGCCCTCTCCTTCTCCCATTGTTCACCACTATGAGAACAGAGTGAGCTGGGAGATCAAAGGTTGGTGGATGAACATGAAACATGAATGCACACTGATCTGAGAATTTACAGACCGAATGCCCAACGTGGTCAACTGAACGAAAATACAGAACAGATTTATTTATATTCAAGAAAAGTCACGACTCACATTTGTATTCATCTTTTATATAACATAAAAAAGAGGAAAATACTCAAATCCAAGAAGGAGGAAAAAGTAAAAGTAACCTAAATCACTTCTCTCAAAAACTATTGCTGAGTCTACCATAAAACTCCCCACAAATACTATTTAAGGGAATAAAAGTTTTAACACTTAGAACTCTGCTGAATCACTAGCGATCCCACATGACACCATTAACATTGTTTACAGTTTCTTGAGAACTATACTGTGTATCTCTGTGGGATGAAAAGTGTTCAATCCCTATCAAGGGTTTTCAGGCACTTCTACATCTCCCACAAGGTTTACCATCCAAGATGTTTGATGGTAAATCCGCAGTGACATACCGGTGAAAACATGTTATCATTATTTATCCTATTGTTGTGATAAAAAAAAGGTCACTATCGCTAAATGTCGCTAAGCTGTTTTGATGATATCTTTTCCTGTCAAACTTTCGACCAATTACATATCTCATATTCTATGTCTCATATTACATGGTCTCATATCCTTCTACTATTGTTCTCTTGATGGTAGTGTCCAATAAGAGGCAACCAAAGATCAACAAGAGACAAGAAAGTTCCCTGCTTGTCTGCAAAACAAGAAATAATGGTCCCCAATGCTTGGAAACAAGCAAAGAAGAGATCATGAGCAGTATGATGTGGTCCTCTGTCTCATCTCAGAAAGGAACTGCTTTAAGGAGTGGCATAAACAACTGTAAATAGCAAAAAACACCTGGAAGAATTGGTGTAAATATGTAAATAGTTTCTGTTGTGTGTTTGTTCCAATCCCAATATTTCTTTTCCTGATAGCCAAGACTTAACAGAATGATGTGCATGATGTGTGAGAAAAGGCTTGGTCACTATAGATTTATTTTTATTTTTTTTTAGCAAAGTACTGTTGGTATCAATTTCTGTTTTTTGGTTGACTTTGATGGTTCTGATACTTCTGTCACACCCATTTGCACCCATAAACTGACAGCTGAGGTTGTCCTGAAAAAAAAAACATATGTATATATATGCTGTGCTTGAAAGGACAGAGTTGCTACATAGATTTTTATCAAAAAAAAAAGAAAAAAAGAAAAAACAGGCGGACCAAAAATAGCAAAATATAGCTGGGAGTTCTATGGGTTAAACTCAAGACATATCAAAATTTCAATAAATAAAACGTATTTTCCAAACAAAATTTTCCTCTGTAAGTTTATATTACCATCCACTATCGCTGTGATTTGTGTCAAAAGATGACTGAATTTCTAAGCATGCTATCTTACATGTCCTAGGCCTGGTGCAACAACTTGGGGGCAACTCCCACTGACTCTGCTCATAAAGCTGCCTCTAATACTCGCTTCTGATTGGTCAAAACCTCTTGACAACAGTAATTTATTATAACTAGCAACAGCAATGTCAGAGACAACCAAAACACGTCATTCCAGTCAATATGGGATGAAGAGTTCTTGAGTATATACATTTTTTTGGCTGGTTTTGGTTAGCATGAATAGCTGGTAGATAAGGCATGTTGATATGTATATATTAGATCATGTCCTGCAATCCAGGCAACAGCAACAGAGCAGGGGAGTGCGTCTCCAAGTTACCGTTCACTACCAAGATGCTAATGCTGTGTTCGAGTTACCTCGGAAGTCAGATGTCGGAGCTGAAAATGACGTCACACCCGAGTTCCCAGCGTTTCAGTCACCATGTTAGCAAAAAGCAAAATCAGAGGTGGAAACAAGATGGCTACATCTATGAAAGTTTTCTTAGTGCTTGTCTTATCTGAATATAAGGCAAGTGCTAAAATATCTTTCGTAGATGTAGCCATTTTGTTTCAGGTTTCTAATTTGCTGTTCTCCGACTTAGTAACTGAAACGCTGGGAACTCGGGTGTGACATCATTTTCTGCTCCGACATCTGACTCAAACACACCATTAAACCATGAGTGGTCGTGTTACTAAATGAGGATGTCAATTCACCATGTCAATCAAAATGTTCAGTTTAATGTGAGTAATGACAAATGATTGGTCTGACTGTGGCTTGACCTCGAAGTGAAATCCTCAGTATGACCCGAATTATTATGAAAAATAACCAGGCTAGGCTGCAGCAGCCCTGTCGACCCTTACTTGCGTTACTCTCCATGGAGACGTTCAATTAAATAATCAGTGTAATTGCATGCTAATGTTGTAATTTGACTGCTGATTGAAAGGTTTGACTTGATGTTTGTTCATGCTGCGAGAAGACAGATTAGTATCTGTTGCCATGACAGCACTAACAGCTGCGAAATCAGAGGGACCATTTTTTAAAATTGAAATCTATAAATCATCTTTCAGTTAATATTTTGTGTTGAATTGATAATGACAAAATGAGTTTGAATCCCTCCAGTGAGAGGTATCACCTCTTCACTATGCTTTCTCTTACTTGTATACCAGTTGGACACTGATGCAGGGATCAAACTGTGTAAACGTTGATTCTAAATGTAAGTCGAGTCAGAGATGACAGTCATTTAAACACTCTTGACATTTCATTGTTTCCTCAGTGCCTGCAGACTTCTTCTCGTCTGACTCGCACATTTTCTTCCTCCAGAGAGCTCAGCGCGACTCTGAAACTTGTTAATCGTTTTTTCTTGACAACTCGGAGTTGTACTTGAATGTGAAATATTTAAAAGCTCTGTGGGGCTGAGTGTGGAATCGATCAGCGTTCAGAGCACATATGAGACGGGGACGAGCTGCAGGGGCCTCTGGGATGTGAAAATATCATGTCGAGCTTTGTGGATTTTCAATGCAATCATATATCTGAGGCAGGAGATTCGTGTTGATCCTGCCAGACGCTCTTGTCCTCATCCTTCACTCTTAAAGCTGAAAACACTTATCCTGATACAGCCCGGAGACGTGTCAAACCTCCACTCTTGGTGATATTTTTAGCAGATAAACACTTTATATCTTCTTCCTAATGGCTGGATTTCGGCTTACTTATTATATGACAACTTCCACTCTTGATTTTTTGTACAAAGTACAAATTTTACTTTAATTTTCCTTCCTTTTCAAGTGATTGAAACAACAGCTGTTCATAGAGCCTTTTTTTGTGTCACTGTTTACGAAATGATAAACTTTGCTGCCAAATAGTATATTTTTATTTGCTGAAATTTTCATTTTCTGGATCATATCATCCAAGTTTATATTGCTCATTCCATCTGTCCTTCATCATAAAAGCTTTCCCTGATGAAGTAAAATAAAAAACAAAGATATAAAGAGGTAAAACTTTTCAAGCTGCAGTGTTTATTTCTCATAACCAAGCAAATAAATACTTGAAGTTAATTTTTTGAGCATGTGTGTGAGTAATGCTTCAGCTGCAGACTCATTAAATAAGAATCTCAAACTCCCTGGCCTCTGGCTGTCATCAGTGATTGGCTAGGACTCCCTCAGATTGTCCATTAACTCTGTCGCTGCAGGGTTTCATGGTGTGTGAGCCCTGTGTGTCCTCTAAACAAACACCTCATGAGATTAGACCTCGATTCAATATATGTGGCTGTGATAGATCATCATTCATACAAGCTGTCTGATCGACCAAACAGCGCGTGTGTGTGTGTGAAAAGTGTGTGATTGGGATTGGCAGAGAGAAACAGAGAGACCTGCAGCTGCCGGTTTTGTTGAGATGAACCTCACTCACCACTTAAAGTCATGTGCATCACTCTGCATGTGTGTGTGTGTGTGTGTGTGTGTGTGTACACTTTCCTACCTATCCAAGAGGGGAACTTGGTGTCGTAACACTTTCACCAAGAGGGGACCTCATAGCCAACAGGGGACATTTTAATTGTAGCCAAGTGGGGACCTGAAGGTGTGTGAGTGTTGAAGTCCATGCGAGGCTATCCCCCTGTAGGCCGAGGCCGGAATTACAACAACCCTTAAGCACATGTCGTTTTACACACACTCCCTGAGAGGGGCTGTTTAACAGGTTACTGGGTGCAGAACATGTCTCTAGATGTTTTATCTTCGTTTTTGAAAAAAAAATTAAGCAATTGCTTAAAAAACACACACATTTCAGACTTTGACAAGACTCCTGAAGTTTTTCATTCCCAAGATACTCGCTTAACCAGTTTTCACAAGAATTGGATTTCTATTGATTTTTCAATATATTTCAAGGATCAGTCTACACTTCTAAGAATGCATTTTTTTTTTTTACCATGCACATTACAGAAAAAAGGGACTTCCACTTTTTGGAATGGCAAAGGTTCCCTGTTGGTTAGTAAATAGTGACAAAAGTTCCCACTTAGATAGTACGCTGTGACTTCACACCACGGATAAAAAGAAAAAATAAGTAAAATTAATGAGTAAAATGACAATCTTAAACATAATAATTTGTGTGTGTGTGTGTTGTGATGTCTGTGTATGGGTGTGTATCCTCTCCTGTGGGCCTCTGACTCTTTACACAGTGAGCTGGCAGAGGACAGGACTGCCACCACAGAATAACAACAAAAGAAATCAATAAAGTCTCCAAACATCATCTGATTATTCAGCAGACAAAGCGGGAGCTCTGTTTAACACCCAGAGCTTTGTAAACTGCAGCTACACCACACATCTTCACTTTTTTGAACACATTTGATGAGGGTTGTTTACCAAAAATGTTTAAAGGAAAGACTGGAGCTGAGTGACTTTCCACAAACTATCCTTATTTCATCTCCTGCTCTTTTATGTTCAGACTATAGCTGTGATGACTCTTTTTGCTTAGTCCCTTCTGCTGTTTTTCTGCAAAGATGACAGTAAACTTGTGGAGTTATTTCCATCTCATCATCCTCACGTCCTCATTCTTTATATACAGATGCTCCCGCATGTGACCTGGAGATAACCCAGTATGTAACTGAAGAGACAGCTTGTAAAACACATGAAATTTGATTTTCCTGACAAAAATAGAGAGGTCATAGATGAGCGTAAACTTTCATGGTTGTTTTATAATGTATTCAACATTTGAGTTGATGTTGAACTTGTTGGCCCCTTAAGAGCCCCTGATCGTCAAGCACATTCAGATATTTGAAGAAGAAACAGCTTTTCTTTCCTCCTTTCGACCTGAAATCTTTCCTTTTGTCCCCTTTTGGCAGACAAATCTTTAGCTGGCTGAGACTGTTCTCGTATTGACTCTGCCTGCTTTACTTTTTTCTCCTTTCCACACTGTCTACTTTCTTTTGAAGAATGGAAGTTTGTTAAGGTCAACCTTCCTCATACAGACTCCGTACAACTTAGATGACAATTAATATACTGATAGAAAGTTTTTTCCCACCATTTCTATTCGACTTTTACTCTCGCTCCTTCCTTCATGTCTTCCGTAGACTACAGTAAGATTCTTAAAGCCGTGCATGTGTTTACTCTGACTCAAACCTGTAGATAAAGCAGCCTTTGCTCACCTCATTATTTATAGTGAATATTTTTATGTAGAAACTATAGAAACAGAGCTGCCTTTGAGAAGCTTTGCTGATACCTACCCCCTCACACCAGTTTCAGCCATAAAAAATATGATACTCTTTTCTGTGTATGAATACCATAAAACAGCATTAATATATATTTCGGCTTTTTATTGTCAGATCAAAAAATAATATAAACTTTGAATAAAATTTCTATACGACAGTATATTTACATTGGAAAAGACAGAGTGATGTGGCCCATTTCCACCTCCCCCTCAGCAACTCAGAAGAACACTGACAGCAGACAAGTCATATAACTTTTAGCGACTGTGTTAATTTTAGACAGACTTTTTTCTGATTGGTCGAAATCCACTGAAACAGTAATTAATTCTGAATAGCAAAAGCAGCACCAGGGACATTTAGATTATTAATGTCATATCAATATATATAAAGGAGTCTGGCACATGTATAAAATTTGTGGTATTACTTTGTCTTGTTAGCATTGAGGTAAAATACTAGTTTCTCATCACTGCACAAAATGGATAATAGGGGTGGGAGAAAAAAATGGATACAACATAGTATCGCAATATTTTGTCTGGGGATACATCGTATCATCTCATTTACCTAGTATCGATTTTTAAAATTAATTGCTAATATGAAGTCAAATCCATGATAATGGAAAAAATAAAATCTACTGTTTGTCCAGTGAGGTTGGCAGAGGGGTCATCATAGAGCAGGAGAAAATTAGTACAACAAATATATGTAAGGTTTGTAAGATGTGCTACATGAAAATAAAATACAGCATAAATAAGAGAAACATAAAGAAAAGCCAAATGCCAAATTAGCTAAACAGTTGAAAAATCACAATATATTGTATTGCAATACTCACTGCATTGCAAAATGTTAAAAATCGCAATAATATTGTACCGTGGTCCAAGTATCGTGATAATATCATGTCATGGGGCCACTAGTGATTCCCACCCCTAATGGATAATAATTGAAATGTTACCCATTATTTACTTGTAGAGCATAAAACTTCAGAATCCTTTATGGCTGACAAAGGAAAGATCAGACCTCAATGTGAAGTAAAGCACCAGTCTTCTCTCACCATTCAGAGATTCTACTTTGCATGACCACCGACTCACTATACCAGGGTTTTTCCTGCGTTCAAAATTGCGTGGCGGCCGCCTCCACCTAATTTTGTGCCGCCCCCAGCCAGAGCGATTGATTTCGCTCAACACAGCGTAAAGCTCCAGCTGTGTTGATTGAGTGTATGATGTCCCTCTGCAGCAGCAACGTATTTTAACTGCAGTTGCAGCGTTGCGCCACTATAGAGGCGCTATATCAACAGCAGTGCACCGGAAAGACCTGAAGCATCTACCGAAGAAGAAACGGATCGAATCATGTTTTTTCAAGTTTTTTTCCCGCTAGTTGGTGCTATCGGCGTCCTGATTTTCCCTGGCGGATGGTACAAACAGGTAAATACTGCTTCTCTTTTTTGCATCCAAGCATGTCGTGTTTATTAAAAAAAAAGTTTCCTCCGTTTTTTAGCGTTGCAGATATGACAGGCAAAATCAGCCAGTACTTTAAAAAGCGACCTCGCGAGGAGGAAAGTCAAGAGTCCAGGTGAAACACAGCAGAGAAAAAAAAGGAACAGGCAGTTAAAATGCTATAATTCATGTTGGTGACAACGTGGAAATTTGTGTCAGGTCTGAAAGTACTTCACAAGGGACTGGTGATCGCGAGGGTCAGAATGCAGGACAGGACGAGTCGGCGAGGCGAGGGTAATTAATTAATTAGTTTTCAATTAGGAGCATAACAACGCAAAGCCGACGTGTACATGGTTTTTATTCCTCTTTCCAGATCTTCTCAAAAACACAGAGCCAGTGGCTTTGACAAGCAGTGGCTCAATCAATTTACCTGGCTCAGGCATACTGAGGAAGGCATGCGCTGCTATTTATGCCAAAAGCACTGTGCCCCAACACAGCAGGTAATTGGTGCCTCCTTAGTGAGACAGCCATCAACCAACTACAGGCTGGACACATTAAAAAGACATGAGGTGACAGCCATTCACAAAGCAGCAGAAGAGAAGGAGAAGTATATTAAAGATGGTAGTACCTAAAAAAACTCAACTAATAAAGTTACAAAAAATAAATAACATAGTTTAGATAGTTTAAGAAATAATTGGTTGTCGTTTTTTTAGGGAGGACACTGCAACGTATACATATATATAATATATGATTGAAAACACTATCACTCTTCATGTCTGTATCAGAATAAAAACAAAAATACTTAATGCATGATGAATTGTTTTGTTTAAGGTGAAGACACCTCTGTGGAACAGACTGAAGGAGAGGCACTTGGATGTCTGTTGTAAGGTGGCCGTTGATGGACCAGACCAGGAGGCCTTGGACTACAAGGAGTGCATGAGGAGGTTCTACAGAATGAAAAAGAGGAGGCTGAAATGTTCTGTATGGTTGTGAGATGTGTGGATGAAGTGTACTTTCAATTTAAAGTTGCCAGCTGATTTGTGTATGTATATAGTTTTAATAAATGAATGCTTTAACATGATAATGGTCACACTCTTTTTTGAACTCTTAACTTAAAGTATGTTGCCTGTAAAAGAAAGTGAGTCAGTTGAATTTACAAATACATGCACGTCATGGCGCATGGTCGGGACGGTGCCACCTCTGCCTCAATTTGAGCCAGGAAAAACCCTGTATACATCATCTTATATTAACAGCAACCTATCAGCTATGCAGAACACTGTTTTAAATAGAGAAACAAGTGAATACTGAAAAGTGATTTACGATGATTTCATTGATGTAGAGTACTTTCTTAACACAGCGTTAAAAATGCCCCTCAGTTTTTGATGACTGGTAGACCTTCCATGGCAACAGTAGTTATCGCACTGCTTGCACTATGTCTCTTTCACCCTGCAGCCCCATGCGTGTTTAAACATGTCTCGCAGATTTCTGCCTGATTTGCCCTTTCTGTAGTCTTTTATCTCTGCATTGAACAGCTCTTATTACTGCTTTCTAGATAGAGTAATACTGAGAATATCCTCCATGGTGTTCACAGATGCTGCTGGAAATCAATGATTTTGTTGGAAATCAACAGGAAGAGGTGAATTTGAGTAGTGTGATCAGGTTGCCCCTGGCATCGCCTTTCCTTTTCAGAGTTAACAATCGTTGTCTAGGGTTTTGACTAATCAGAATTCAATATTTGACACTGGCTGTTGGGTGATTAGACAGAAAGCTGGGTGATAATATTTTGCCAACAGCTTCGCAGCTCTATTCACAGCTGGCTGGTTGTTGAAGGATTACAACAGTCAAGCTGTTAAAGGGCAAATAGTTTTATTCAAAGGTCATCAGAGCATAAAGAGGACCTTGTACTCGCTAATGAATCTGTTGCACCAGGACAATAAAACCGTTAAAATAAAGCAAATATACTGAAATTACAGATAAACATATATTGACATTTAATTCAAACACGATGAGCCAGTTTAGGACCGAATATAAAATCTGACCACCATGATTACCAAAATAAAATTCTACCATTAGATAAGAGCATTTTAATAAATGCTACATATATCTGCAGACAATTCTTACATGATTTAGATAAATATGTGAATGTTGTATACCCTTTGCTCACTGTCCTTATAGAAATATTGTTGCTTTTTTCCCCCTTTGACCCACAGCAAAGACTCAATCGCATCATGAGTTGACACTTTTTGTTATGACAATCTGCCTCCAGTCATAGAGCTTACCAACACAAACATGAACTCAGCAAACATTTAATCTAATTTCAGCCCCCAGCAGCATACCCATCCTTCAAAATTCACCATTCAGTCATCGCTACACTTTAACAGGCACAAACCACCACGCAATGCTCCTGTGATTCCCATGACCCTCTTTTATCACAGGTCAGTGCTCTATACACAGCATATCAAATGCTCTAGCACCCACAGAGAAACACCAGAACAGTAACATGCTTCAACCCACACATTTTTACATTTAGATGAGGACTTTCTCACTCTGTCTCTCCCTTTCCTGGGTGTAAAATACTGTAAGGAATACTTTAGATTGAACGTTGATGGAAGATTTCAATATAGGAAAAACAATCCCCAAGCTGAACCTGCTGAGGGTTTGACTGCAAAGCTGTCAAACTTGAATGTAGGCAGGTTCATGTTCAAGAGCGGACTACTTTCCCTCTGCTGCTGTAATCATAACCACAACAGAAAGTTCACCCACCAATTAAAGTATCGTGAATTTACAAATTACAGTTCTTTCCCAGCCTGACCTCTGAATCACCACCCACATATCAGATTTATTCAGCAACTCATTTAGGTGTGGTGCTGTGCCCACTGACAGCTGTTTCCCATTAACAGTGGAGGTGTCATCTCCCTACAGGATTCACTATTTGTTTACTGCATTACAATTATAATGGCAGAAAGTTAACAGAGAGGTTACCGAGATCAAATCAACCACATATTATTGTTGGTCGACTAATAGAAGAAAACCTTTTACATTTTCACATTTATTTATTCAGACTGATGAATTAAGTATCACACCAGATACTTCTGCTTCTATAGGAAAGAGTCAGTATGTTCACGTGCACAGTTTAGATCAAAAGCCAGAGCTTGACCAGGCTTCTTGACTGAACTACTGTCCATTGCAAGCAACAATCACATTATTTACAGAAGCATGTCTGTCTCTACTCTGTAGGTGGCTACATGCCCCTTTTCAGCTCTTTACTATCAGGCTGTCTCCTAGTTGACCTATTATGACAATCCAAACAATTAACAAAGGGCAGGATGAATGTCAAACGATGAAAACACTGTCACTTTTACAACTCTGTTTGTTTGCACAACAGGAAAGTTTAATCTTTTTTACATCCTTTCCTTTGTCTATCAAGGTTTCATTTACCACCTGGCTTTCTTGTAATGCATTTGCACCATTCAACATCTGACTCAAAGCTTGGCATGCTAACACTGGAGTAGGATCAGAACCACATAATCTAAGTATGTTTGTCCTACTGTGATTTCAGATGGACTAATGCAATAAACCTGTTCTTTTGAGCAACATGTAAACATACTGACCGATACATCAACAGTTACTGGTGAATTTTAATGTATGAACATAGACTGTATTTATTTAGACAACTTGGTTCCGGATAACGGTTTTGATGCCGAAAAGCTCTCAGTATTTCCAGGATTTTCTCTACATCCTGGAACCAACATTACGCTGTATCATTGTAGGCATTCAGCAGGAGAGTCGCTGTGATGACACTCGGCTCAAACAGCGTATCCCCCAGGTGAGCTACGCAATCTTCGTACACCTATAGGCTGTATCAAGTGTCAATCATAGAAAACATGAGCCCCCTAATGACTTTTAAAAATGGAGCTGTACAGAAAAATGAGGACTTGAGCACAAACCAGTCTTACAGTAACTACATGTCAACATCGCAAGCAGGGGGGAGAAAAAATGTATATTCTGTGTGATAAATCTCTAAAGTTTGTCCACAGCTCCATAAGCTTTGCTGGAGGAGGCGGGATTAATGACCTATACTGCAGCCCGTCACCAGAGGGTGCTGTTCTCGGAGTGACTTCACCCAGCGTGGAGGCAGACAGCGTCAATTATATACACAGTCTATGTGTATGAAACTACTGGGAGGAAAGTTGGTGTCAGACCACATGGATGTTCCTGATACAGCTGCTTTTTACAAGTCTTACTGAACTTCCAATGACGTTTGTTAAAAGACGGCAGTAGCGCTAAAACTGACACCGAAAGTTCCATATGAGAGTTTTGAGTCATAAAATGTACTTAAAACTCCTTTTGGACTTAAAAATATCAAAGAGGGTGATAGGATTTTAGGCCGCAAAGCTCTTCTTAGCTGCTCGCCATATTTAAGGGTAATCTTAGTCTAACGTGAGATCTACAGTAATTGAATACAGGGGTGAAGACATACTTAATCAAAAATATATGTGCAAATTATGATACAAGATAACTTCCCATTTTTTCAAATTTAATCTCAATGTCATGCTGTTTTTCTATACTGAGTTATGATGTTTTCATTTGATGTAATATAATAAACTGTATCCACTATGTGACTACATGATCACAGGCCCAAAATAAGATTACAGGTTGGTTTAATGGCAGAAACAAACAAACAACAGTGAATATCATTGAGATGAGATTTCCTCTGTGCTGCTTTTTGTGACACATTTTTATGCACTGGTTTACATTGATACAAAAATATATTGTGTTGGCTTCAAAAGGACTGACTGAAGGAAGTTACAGCCTGAAGACATTTTCTTTCTTTGCTTTTGTCTCCTTGTACATCTCCATTTCACTTTGACACTCACCCTGTCTTTTTCTTTTTCTGTTTGTCTGTCATTAAAAGCTGCCCACATCCACCACAAAGATCCACACAAACACTTATTTCTATTCATGAGTTTGTATTAAGCTCGCCATATTCCCACCCTTGCAAATGTCAACATTGAGATTGATCTCTCATGAGGCCTTTTTGCTCAGCGCACCTGAACAAAAGACACATCCATATTTACCAGCCTCGGCTTTTGTCACACACTGCAGTCCAAGAACACACTGTTACAGGCTTTTACATCTCAGTCACCTTGGACTGGATCACCTGCACTGAAATTCAGATACATAGTCCATGATTTATTTCTTTGAGCTTGTTTTGAATGTAGTTTATTGACTTTCATTGCAACAATCATTATTCAGCACTTACAGCTTTAAAGTTTCATGTATTTTTGTTATGCAGATTTTGTCGAGGCATCAAGACTTAGTGACACTGTGTGAAATGGTACCTCTAACAGCTTTTCGGTTTTAGCCTGTATAAAAATATCAAAATGATTCTGTTTCATATCCAACTTAAAGTCCACCATTTTAGTTTCAACTTTTATTTTCAGAAGCAGATTTTTTTGCTTTTTTCCCCACTGTAAACGGCAAAGAAAACTGATCTGAAACCTCAAATGTAACCCAATAATTTAAAAGAGATCCATTCGACTTGGTCCCTTTACAAATAAAATTAAATAAAAACATGTCAAGTTGTCCGGGGTGAGAGACACCCCAAAAAAGCTAATGCTAATCCTATACATCAAACTTAACCCTCCTATTCTCCTCAAATATTACTAACACATTTTACCCTTAGGTTTAATCTGACCCCAGGTATATTTGCCTCCAGAAAATGATTTACATGCAATTGTTGACCAAGATTTTTTGTCAGGCACTTTGTTGATTTGTTGAGTACATAAATAAGTGCTTAACAATGAAACCTACCAGTGAGTTGACCTGTTCTCCAGCGCCACCAATAGACCAAACTTTTAAAGTAGAATCAATGTATCTTCAAAAGTTTTCATACAAATCTCAAATTTACTGACAATCTTTTTTACCACAAGAGGATGAACCCCACTGGTTTTGGTGATAATATGACCTTTCTGTAGCGCCACCATCAGGTCAAACTTTCAGTTTTAGAGTTAGTGTATCTTGAAAATCTTTCGTCCAACATTTTCCTAATCTGGGGTGCACATTCATGACTCTCACAGAATAAACCATATTGATTATTTTGCATGAACTACCAATGTCCTTGAGGGAATACCCCTCCTTCCACAACACAGGAAATACAGTATCAGTCCTATACTTCGACATGTGTGAGTACAGTAGGTCACTCATACGCACACACATCTTCATGCCCATGGTGCAGGAAGGTTTTCGTGAAAACATTGTTTCCCCCTATCCCATGTCAGGGTAGCACCAAAAATGGAAAATTATGGTCCCTCTACTGACTTCAGTTGTCCCCATCAAATTAGGAAGTCATGAAATATGAAGCAAAAAAACAAAAGTCATCTATAATTTTTTGAATGATAAACATTGAATGGGGTCAAATTGACCCCAAGAATAACAGGTGGGTTAATGTTAACGTGAAGGCTAAGTTGAACCGCTATCTTTCTTGGTTAGCTGACCACCTACCAAGCCCCAAAATCTAATAAATAGACTCAGCAGTGGAATCTTATATACTGGCACAACTCTACAGACATGACATTGCCCTCTTTTAACAAAGCGCTGACTCCACATTTCATATCTGCCTTTGTTAACTGATCAGGGAAAAGGAGACCTTTTGTTTGTCTCTCTGTTAGCAGAGAAAATGAAAACGCTTGACTTCTACCACAGCTCTGTTGTGTTTCTAACCACTGTTAGTTTCTGACATGTCTTGCTAGGCTTGACTGCTCTCCATCAAAACCACAGGGGAGATCCACCGGGTGCTTTACTCTCACCGGTGGACATGTTTCACCGCTCAGTGCTTCCAGAGAGGAAGAGGAGGAAAAAGTCCAGTCAGAGCATCCTCTTCCTCTGTTGTCTGAGATTTCTGTCTATAATTCTGTCAGAGAAGAGAGTCTCATCTGTGTTCAGCCTGGATGACCTGTCTCTACTGAAGCAAAACCAAGACCTCTCTGCAGGGTAACACGGAAAACTCTGGAAATCTGCTGCCTCTTCAGTTGGTTTCTTTCCTCCCATCTGCCTGTAACTTGGCCCCTTAAATGTGTCAAATTAGGTTATTTAAATTTGTTCCTCCACCAGCTGACAGAGTGTTTTCAAGCCTCTTACAACCAGAGCCATCTCTTGTTATTAATAAAGTGTAACAAATTTTCCAGCAAATTCTTCTTTTTGTTCATGTACCGTACTTGATAAATTATTTGCTGTGGATTAGTCCCAGGATTACGGAAAAGAGGAATGGCCTTACCACCAGTTTTGAGTGCCTTTGAAGGGATAACAGTGATAGAGCTCTTTATTTATAGCTTGAAAACAGAAAATATCACGGCTGTTTGCACAGATACATGGGTATTGATATCTTTGATGAGAAATTCACATTATAATACTCATTACATGACTGCAAGAAATTGTAAGCAAAAGACTGCATGAGCGAAGAGACAGTCAAACCGCCCAGTTGCTCCATTTGTAATTGGCTAGAATGATGGAAGTTCTTCTGAAGGTTAGTTATAAATAACACATAAAGCCAAGATACACACACATTCGTAAACACTCCTCTTCTCCAAGGCTAAACTGCACTGTTATATTTAAGATCTCCTCTATCCACCCTCGACCTGACTGCAGGAACCTCGGAGGGAAATGTCAAAATCAATACAGCATGAGCTGAGGCGGACTTAACCCTGAACATGTCGATAATGTGTGATGACGGCGAGATACAAGGAGTTTTACATTGAACTTGTTGTTCTGTGATATTATTTCACAGAGTTGTGGAGATACTCTATCTTGATGAAATGCTGAGTTCGCTGTCCTCAGCTGCAGTCCAACAGTATTACTTTTAAAATACCAGGATAGTTTCTGCAGAGAAGGAAGGAGGGCAGCCAGTCGGCAAAAAATATAAAGTTTATCTTGGCATTTTATGGATGATAAAAACCCAACAGTCTTAATAAGTTTTATATGAATACCAAATGAGAAGTAGGGTATCGTAGAGTATGTAAAAAAGGACTACCTTCTTGTACTCTTGTGTTTTTGTTGTCAAGTTTTTTAAAAAAGTTTTTGGGTAGTGACTTGGACTGGTCTTTTTTAAGTGAACTAACACACCCCTAAGTAGCTGAACAAAACTAGACACACTGCTAGTTATGTTACTTTTGCAATACGTTATAGCATGCCTGAGATGCAATGTCATTGAATTTGCCAGTTAACAATTTAAACTTCAATCAATTTGTCATTATCTTAATTGAAAATCAAGCCTGGGCCGCTTGGTTGGTGTCATTGTCCTGTCTTGCGTGTCTCTCAGGTCATAGATCAGGCAGTCTTTAAACCCATTGGTCAAGGTGTATATAATCGTATTGTCTGCATTAAAAATAAATAAATAAATATATATATATATATATATATATATATATATTATTACATAAATGACTGATAAAGATAATACATTTAGTTGGACCCAAAATGGGCCCAGTGTGTGTTTGCAGGTATAGTTTAAACATGACCATCACACTCTTTTACATTTTTGCGACAGATTTGATTCAATATGCGTATCTCGAAGCCTTCAAAGATGCCTTTAGTCGAGCCGCTCTGCTTACACAGAGGTATTCCCTTTTGATCTCAGTTCAAGAAGCCTCAGTGCTGACACCACAATATGATCAACAACTCTTACAAACTCAGGAATGTGTCTTTTTCTGTCTAAAAGGAAGAAAAAGTTTTAGAAGTTGTACTGAAATCATAACCTGTCAGGCTGAACATTGATAACATGATGCTCTGTATCTGAAATGTCATCCTGATTTATTTAAAATCTCACCTTTTGTGTCAAACTGAGGCTGTTGCTTCTTTGGTTAAAAGATTTCAGCTCTTCCTCAAAAAAGTCTCTCTAACAACAAGGTGAAATACCATCTGCTGCAGAGCCAAAACTCTGCAAGCTCAGTTGACACAAAAGGAATAATGTTGAAAGTAAAATTGCAAATGTGCACTCTCTTTTAACAAATTCACTTTGTTGTAGCTTAGGTACCGGGTCAAAGAATTTGGGAAAGTTTGAGAATGATGTGAAAACAATTCAATAATATAAAACTTCAAACTTTAAGCTTAGTTTACAAAGGAAATCCACTCAAATAAATCAGGTTTTGTATCACCTTCAAGAGGACATAATGCAGGTTCTCCATCAATTTTCTAAGACAAGGTGTTGCTTGTTGCAAGGCTGTTATCAAATACTTTCAACACTGCAAAAGTGGAAAGTGAGATGATTTTACTGTGGCATGAAGAGCACAATCCTAACTTCACCGATACTAAGAAGAATTTGCCCTCAGAGGGTCTTCGCAGCTATATGAAACAAACTGAACCTCTTTCCCTGAGTGTCTTTTTCTTTCAATTTGCAAAGGAGAGAGCTGTTCAAAGATTATGCAGTCGTATTCACACCAAAGAGGTTCGATCCTTTGTTTTCTGATGAAAAACTTACCTTCAATGGTCAGGTGTTTTTTTTTTTTTCCTGCAGTGCTCAGCAGCATCAAACGTGACATTAGAAGGAGTGAAAGAAAGAAGCAGCGTTTTATACTGTGGCCTATCTCCGCTTCACCACCTACCAAACTTTTAACTAATAATACCATAACTCATTTGTGAGAGACACGGGCATTTCCTGTAGAAGTGGAACCACTACACAATGAAGAACTTTTTACCAATTCATTAACACAAGCACAATCTGCATTTTCTCAAAGATGTATCTTTTATACTCAACGCCAACACATGTCCTTGACAACTAACACGAAATATTCTCCATGCCAGGAAACAAATGAGGACAAGACTTTGTTTACTTCTATAAATAATGTAGGTAATTTAACATGAGAAAAAGATGTTGGCTATGATTCCCATTTTCACAGTTACACTGTGTTTTATTGCCTAATGTGTGAAAGTGCTCTTTCTTTATTCCATATATAACCTCTATTCCATTCCAACAGCGATGTAGTTGAGTAGTTATTATGTTAAAGCAACCAAAGTGAACCAGAACAATAGAACTTAAAGAGAGGTGGTGTTTGTTGTTCATGTTAAAATATAAGAAGTCGAAAAGGATTGTGAATGAGTCATTTAAACAATATTTACATTGATATATGTATTTCCTATGAAGACCATTATTTACCATTAATGGCTGAGGATACACAGACAAATAAGCTGCTTGTGTGTGGGTTGCATAAAAAATATCTAATGGCCATTCTGCATGAGTGATGTGGTTACAGCCATCCATACGGGACCCTGTCTCCACATCTCAAAATTAATTTTTCACACATTGCAGTGTGCACATTTACAGTATGTGTGTAATTTTTACAGAGCAGGGAAGGGCCTTTATGCTGTAACCCAGTTACGTCGGGGTGATTCATTCAGTGACAAGTGCAGCCCCTGTGAGGATTGGCTCTGTAATGATATGCCATGTCAGGGAAGGAGTGAAGAAAGAAAAGAAAAAGGAGGAGAAGTAAGTTTTAAAACATTAAGTGTGAAGAGATGGGGTCTCTTATTTTTCTCCTCTAACATCGACTTGATTCTCTCTCTCTCTCTCTGTTTGCTCCTTCTGTCATCCTGCTTTAACGTCTCCAGCTCGGGTCAATTAGAAAAATGAGAGGAAACGTCAATGAGAGACAAGTCGTTCACTAATGCAATCAGACACACTGAAAGCCTCTCTCTACATCACCCTCTGATTTTGACATGAGCACATAAACATGAACTGACTCTGGTGGGGCAAAGAGGGATGTTTCTGCTCCGACTTTTCGAGACAAAGTCAGACCAAGAAAAGTCAAAAAGTCCATTTGGTTAAACATCACCAGATAGAGCCAAAATAACCCAACAAGTCTCTGATTTGTTTCATCTAAATTACATCTTAAGTCTCTCATAGATTACCCTCCGGTATGTTTGAAAGGGAAATGCTGTAATGGATGACTCAGCAGTGTAAAGATTAAAGCAGCTTCTCTTTCTGGAGGCGGTGATAACATGACAACAGTGCTGACAGGTGTGTGATAAAGGCAACATCCTGAGAGAGGATCCCGGAGACTGTGGGACTGATCTGATCTCTGCATTATTTAACATAATCCGTGTTACTAAATAATGAAGCACTGACAACAGCAATGTTATCACACAGTAAATGAATGTCTGCATGTTGTATTTAATTTACCATCTAATATAAACACAGATCTATTCTGTCGCATGATATAGGAGCAGCTGACACCTTTAACATGAGCTTATACAATAAACTGTCTCAGTGCGTTAATAAAATGATATATTTTATGTATACTGTTTGTCAAAAGGATGGATAAAATCATTATTTAGCAGGATAAAAAAAGCCAAAAGTTGACAACAAATGGCCTCATATACCTCACACACACTGACATGACCCTGATAACCGCTTACCTGCGGGCTGTGAATTCAGGTCACTGAGATTGAAAAGTGAGCGTGCTCTGTCAGGCCTTCTGCCTGCTTCCATTAGACTCATGAATGCCTGAGCTCACTTGACTCTTGACCCTGTTAGTGTTGTATTCATGGGCGTTTTCAGGCTCCCTTGCCCTGGCTGGTGAACATTTTAACCTTTGGAGCTGAACTTTTAGGTTCTATTCTCTTTTAATCTGTCATGTGTCAAGATTTATGATGAGTAAAGACAATCAAACAGATAAATGGTAAATAATTTGGGATTGGAAACAATCACAGTTCGAGTGAACAAATTAGTTGGGATACGTTTATTGACGGGTTCCTTGTGTACAAACAATACTAGGAGCGCGTGCAACCATGGGGCAAAATCCTGCTTCAGAGTGAACTGATATCAATGAAGATGCCGTATTGTTTGCAAGTTCTCCCTGACACAATTGCAATAAAATGAAATTTCATTGAAAAATCACTTTGTCTTTCATTGCATCAAAATCAGAAAAACACTTGCTGAAATGTCCATGAATTTCACTCAATTTACCAGGTTGTGACGTTGTTTTAGATGTTTCTAATATCAGGGGCAGGGTCGTAATGTTTTCATTTCTTTGTGCTATCATGATAACCTGTGCAGTATATGTATAGCTAAAACATTGGTAACCCTTTCTTTTACGGTATATTTATTACCAGGTAATTACCTAGTAACAACATGAAATATCTGGTAATTACATGATAATTACAGTAGCATTGTAGGTATTTGGCGGTTGAGTCGCTGTGATAATGCTCGGCTCAAACAGCGTATTGCTACGCAATCTTTGCACACCCATAGGCTGTATCTAGTGTCAATCGTAGAAATAAGAACCCCATATAGCTTTTGAAAATGGATCTGCACAGAAAAAAGAAAAACTAGACAGTATTGGCTTAGTAGTTATCATGTAATTACCAGATAATTTCATGTTGTTACTAGGTAATTACCTGTTAATTACCTGGTAATAAGTGTACCGTAAAAGAAAGGGTTACCAAAACATCCTTTATTTATCAAATTTGCTCAAATTAATCTTCCTTTCAATTAAAAGAGAACTGTTTTGAAAGGTTTCCCCACATGTGATTTTGTGAATTTTCTCACCTTAAAGTCATGTCTTTCTAACCAGACTGTTGTCTACATGTCATCTTGGTAAATAAGGGAATGAGCTGCAATGAAGCATCAACCTTGCAGAGGCCCAAAGCTCAACTCTGGTGAATCCAAAAGATAAATTCTTGAAAAACAATTCCTTGTTAGTTTGGGATTTTTTCTGCAGCTGAATCATTCTGTAGTTCCAGTGGTGCTGTGCAGCATCAACAGAGGTAAAAAATGAGCTCAGCTCTGCAACCAGGGAGAGATTCAGGTAGTCAGGAAGTCGGACCTGTACATAATGAGCCCCTCTTCAGGTTTGGGAGCTCATTCACACCCAGCGTTATAAACATGTTACCAGTATATGTTATCTGGATAGTGATGAATGACCTAATTATTATCTGTTATTTTTACATTATTCATTTTTATTGTTTGTGTTCAGTCTTTATGGTGATTAATATTAGCTGCAATTTGCAGCACAGGTAGGAGGACAAATGCTTTGTAAACAGAAAATAGTTATGTGTATTAATACACAAAGACATAGACACAATATAGAGACAATTAGCACGCTATTGTTTTATAACAATGTCCCTAATTAGGCAATTTTACAAATCTTATCATGAACACAGACAAGTATAAGTGCTTCAACCACACATTAAAGTTAAATCCCAAAGACAAAACTTTTTCTGGTTCTGGTTGGATGTAAAAAAAAAAGAAGCTCAGGAGTGTTGTGATACTGTGTTGAAGTACAGCATGCATGACAGGAACAGGGCTTTTGTTTCGCATCTTGATTTGTAAATAATTTCTGGGATTGATCAAGGCGCCGTATTACTGTCTGCTTTTAAAACAAAATAATCTCCTTCGAAAATATTTGCAATACCACAATAATCACGCCATCTCTCTTTATTCTGGTAGCAGAAAACACTGAAGGTCTGTCACATTTTGTCACATATTTCCTGTTCCACCTTTGTTATCCTGAAAATGAGTCATATTTATATAGCAACCAATTTTCAGAAATAGGTAGTTTTATTTTATTTTATCAATCTTTTAGGGTCAAAGCTGCCTGGTTTGTTTGCATTTTGCACTTTTTTTTCTCTTACATTTCTCAGATGAATTGTTGTAACACTTAAAACTGGTGTATACAATGTCTCATATATTAAGTAGGTTTTAATCACCTTTTGTATGCCATGCAGAGCCTGCTGCAAGAAACTGAGCTGCTGAGAGTATGCCGTCCTCCTCACTCCTCATTTGTTGTTTTTTCACCCTGTTTCTATCGATAAGGGTTAGGGTTAAATTCTATTTTTGGGTTTTGTATCACACATGAATGACAAATTACTTAATGATACTCTGACCTAGCAAGATACAGTTATTTTGATGTTTTTGGGGTTGCGAAGTTGAAAAAAAAAAAAATACTACAGTGACATTTTTCTTAAAGTTTTTTGGTTTTGTGTTTGTTGTATAATAGTTATCCCTTAAATTTTACATTTACGTTTACAAATGGCTGCTATTTCCTCAATCCACTGCAACAATTAAGCATCAGTCAGCCTCTCATCTGTCCCTTTTACTCTGTAACCAAATTACCAGTCTTCATTCTTGTCTTTTATATTAACACTTTAAAATTACAATGAAACTTCTCACAGAGCAGATGCAAAATTAATTCCGTTTAATCTAAATAACAAGAAAAGTGGAGAGGAAACCCCCAGGGGCTCAGAGATAAATTCATTCTCATCCTTTTTATATTTTAGCACCAAACGCAGAGTATGAGAGACGTTCAAAGACAATGTTCCCATGTAAGCACTGAATTGAAGTCCCTTCAGAAAAATAATAAACGTGCCTTTTATCTTTAAATAGGCTTTTGACTTCAGTAGGATTCTTCTTTTTTTCCTCCCTCACATTAACTTCTCTGAAATTATTAAATACTCAATGATCTCAGTGAGACAGACGGCAGATCAAAGCACAAAAGCTGATTTCATCTAAAAATTGTTAAATTCATTAGGACTGTCCTGTTTTCCAAAATATATACAACAAAGCAAAGCAGTGAGACCAGACTCTGTCCTTCTTGCAGCATATTTACCTGATTTCTTGTGCTGAGGCATGTTACAAATACACACGTGCACACAGATAAGGAAGTAAACATTATTTTTCTATCAACCTATGTGCTGTGCAAACCTGCAGCTAGGAGGTAAGACTGGAGATTTAATTTTTGATCCCTTTTGTGCTCATGTGTCACACACTGGGTACACCTTGTTGCATCATTTATCAAATCCACATGGCACGCTCCTAATGTGACATATTTTTATTGGAGAAAGCTTTGGCAATAACAGTGTTCATCTTTTTTTTTTCTCCTGTTACGTATCAGATGTATCAGTGCAGATATTCTCAGTGGTAAGGGCTCCTTTCTCTCATAAAAGAGATTCCCAAAGATTAGCTCTATTTCCTGGTCTGCTCAGCTGATTTCGTTCTTATTGTGCTGCTCGTCTCTAATAACAGATTACAGGCTCTCTGCAGAGGTAACGGAGCCTCGATGCTCTTCCTCTCTTTGTATGATTGAAGATTCTGTGATTTTCATGCTTCCCAGAGATGCCTTCTGAATAATAGTTGTAATTCCCCTTTTGCGCAATATCATTGATTGAGCAGATTTTATCTTCAACTACCGCACTGAGAGGTTTCCAACATTTTCCAAAACTCTATTTTCACAAACACAAAGAGACCAAACTGAGCAGGATTCAATGATAAACAGGCCAAAGCAACACCCTTTAAAGGGATATTCTGGTGTAAAATTAAGTTAGGGTCAAACACATCGTAACACTGAGTTAGACTCCCCGACGAGAGATGGATGTTGCCGACCGCTTGCTTCTCTAGTTCTACCAACTTTAGTAACGACCGCACAATAGCAATACACAGCGGTCCCAGGAGCCATGAGCTCAACCAAAACGCCACTCTGTAGCCACAAATAATGCTCAGAAGAGCACCTAACTTTGTCAACAGTACATATAGGGTCCCAGCCATAGCACTAGTAACCAAACATTTTCTTAACTTTGCCTAATTTCTTTAACAAAGAGACTAAACACAACTCACTTACTCTCTTCCAGCAGCCGCTTGTTTGTAGCGAGACCTCAGGCGAGTCCATCGACTGTTGCGGGGTGATGCAGCTCAAGGAAGAACATTTATGATCATTACTTTATTATTTCCTTGAAGTAATAATCACCATATTAATCATTTTGCACTGCAGACGCCGTAGTTCTGCCTTATTGTATCGGTCTGATTGCATTTCCATGAAGAAATGATCATAAATGTTCTTCCTTGAGCTGCGTCACCCCACAGCAGTTTGTAATGGACTCGCCTGAGGTCTCGCTACAAACAATCGGCTGCTGGAAGAGAGTAGGTGAGTTGTGTTTAGTCTCTTTGCTAAAGAAATTAGGCAAAGCTAAAAAGATGTTTGGTGGCTAGGACCCTATATGTGCTGTTGATGAAGTTCGGTGCTCTTCTGAGCATTATTTGTGGCTATAGAGTGGCGTTTTGGTTGAGCTCATGGCTCCTGGGACCGCTGTGTATTGTTATTGTGTGGCCGTTACTAAAGTTGGTATAACTAGAGAAGCAAGTGGTCTGCAACATTCATCTCTTGACAGGGTGTCTAACAATTTGACACCCTGCCGAGAGTTGAGATCTGTTTGATTTTGACTCACTGGTATTGATCAGAAAAAAATGGCGTCCGTAAGCTAACTTCCTCACATTATAGAGGCATCTACACAATAGAAACAGACGTGAACAGACAATTAAAAGGGAATCACAGAAACTTGAAGTGTTTAGTCTGACAGTTTGATTTCATGAGCCTGCTGCGTTAAACTAAATGGATTCAAACTTGCCCTAAGTTTAAGTTGGCTGGATATGATATGATCCTGCCTCCTCCTTTTTAAACACCTTAACATCATGACTTTTTCCAGTGGAGCAGAACTTCTCACCAGCTGCCGCCACCCTCCCCTCTCCTCTGTCATGTGACAATTTCTCTCGCTGATTATTGCACCTTGACAACTTTAACCACGGCACACACAGGGTTACATGACACTTGCTAGTTTATTTTTGCCAGAGTGACGTGAAACTTGTGTAAATGAGCGAGTTTCTACAGTGTTAGAGAAATGTGAAAAATCTCAACAAGTCTGAATTAATTTACCATTTCTCTCTGGATTTATCACATCATTCATATCTCACTGCTTTTTTCCTTTATTTTTCTTGTAACTGTTGCAGTCAAAACTTGAAGGAAAAAATTGTTTTATTTTACTGTTATTTGTCATTATGTGCAGGGTTTCTTATATTTCAAACACTTGCTTACCTTGAGTCAAAGCACTTGGTGATATAGTACATTTTTTAATCCATTACACCTTGAAAACTTTCAATAAAAACACCTAAAGCAAACACAATATGGAAAATATGAAGCTGTATCCTTTGGGACACCGTGCTTGACTCATTCAGCAGCGGCTTACGCTCTGAGCCTAAATCCTCCGAGTCTGAGCTGTTGACAGCAGAGGAATCCTTCATATCATAGGCATCATCCCCTCCTCTCCTCTCATTACATTAACCACATGATTTCTAATATCTAGAGGGGGAAAAAACACAGAAAAGTAACTGGCTGTGATGTGTTTTTTTAATGGACAAACTGCTGCTTATGCTCATTAAACCAATGCTATTCAACAAAACACTTGGCAAAGCAATTTAAAAAACCTTCAAACAACACACACACACACACACGCACACACACACACAGCCATCTGTCTCCTTCTGGTGTCTCGCCCAAGGTTTCCAGGTGCTAGAAATGCAGACTCGTATTCTTAAAAATACACTCACATCTGGACCAGGTGCAGCGAAGGACGCCAACCTGCGAGAAGAATTACTTATTGTGCATTTTCAAGAGAGAACAAGTGGTTTAGGTAATATATATATCAACCCTGAACATAACATTTCTGTCATTAGTGAGGAAAAACACACCCCTGATGTGTTTTCGTGGTTTACCTGAGGTCATTTCAGGTACCGTGAAAATAATTTGACCTTTACTTAGGTAAGAGAGAATATGTTTTAGTGATGACTCCCAAGCCGATAATAATCACTGCACATTAAAAGAGAGCAGGTATCTGGTTTTAATATAATATACGGCATGAATACTGTATTTATAACCAATAAACGTCACAGGGATTAAAAGAGGAAACTGAGCATGTTAAAGAAATAAAGCTCAGAGGGGACTGAGACTTCATGAATCGAACTCCTGGACTCTAATGATGAGAAATAACTTAAATGTCATCCTCCAATATTTCAGAATATTCCTGGAGTAGGTAAGACACAAAATCATAACCTTTATGAAGTCTGTTTCGAAAGGAACCACCAGACAAACAAGTTACATTTCCCCATTTGGTGTCCTGGACCAAATACTTCTCAGTCTGTCATCTTCAATTTTGTGTGTCAAGGAGGAAAAAGCTACGAGACCTTCAGAGACACGACAGACTCACTTCGAAGAGAGAGAGAGAGAGAGAGAGAGAAAGAAAGGTTGTGACATTTTGTGTTCTCAGAGGATTTTTCAAGCAATATAAGTCTGTACGCTTCACGCTTTTCTCCTTAATTTCCATTTTTTTGTCTTTCAATACTGAGAAATGTTGTGCCTTATTTAAAACTATGATCACAAAACTGCAAACTGTAGTAACAGTCATATATAACACCCCTGTGGCTTGATTGATTAGATTTATGTTTACTGTTCTCTATTCTGTATAAGCAGGACTTGCTATTTTTTATTATGGTCTCTAAAATGGTAAATAAATAAATACATAAATACAGAGAAAAATTTATTTTTTTGCGCCAACATGGTTTGAGGTTAGCACTTTTGCTATTAAGCTTGAACAAACATCCTGCCCGAGACTTTCATTGTCAACTCACAAACTCATCAAGGTTTACGCAAACTGACCCAACAGTTTATGGATTATTTCAGCCTGAAACTTGCCGATGAAGACCACCAGTGTGGTTTTAAGAATGGAAATATCAGTCTAATCACCAATTTATGGGTATCACATGGTATCACATATTTCTACAACTATTTTTAGGACCAACCTGTGAGCAGACGTCAGCAGCTCCACTCTGCTGTACTGAGGACAACGGCAACTACTAGAAAAACACCTGTTTGACCTTCTATACATTGCAGACTCTCGTCACTGAAAGAATAATTGACAGAAATCTCAGATAACAGAGGAAGAAGATGCTCTGACTGGTCTTTTTCCTCCCCCTCCTCCTCCTTCTTACTGGAAGGTGAGACATTTCCTCTGGTGAGAGTATAGCACCCGGTAGATCTCCCCTGTGGTTTTGATGGAGGGCAGTCAAGCCTAGCAAGACATGTCAGAAACTAACAGTGGTTAGAAACACAGCTGAGCTGTGGTAGAAGTCAAGCTTTTTCATTTCCTCTGCTAACAGGAAGACAAACAAAAGGTCTCCTTTTCCCAGATCAGTTAACAAAGGCGGACACCAAATGTGGAGTCAGCGCTTTCCCGAGTAGAGTAAGGTCTTTTGGGGGTTTTCAGGGTCAAGGCTTTTTGTCGGCTAATCCAGATATGGGGGCATTTCAATGTAGCTGTCTGAACTCTCTTTTTAAAAACAGTAACATTTGACTGAATAATAAAGTCTACATGTTTAGCTTTGTTTGTCCTTTACCATAGAAAAAAAAGCCAAAGGAAAAAAAGCATTACCTGCCATGATTTATTTTGTGAACTTAGTTTTCTCCTTGTGTTGTTAATTTGAGTGTTTTTTCTGTGTATTTTCCCCGAGTGTTTCTGTTCCCTATAGCTCCTGTTCCCCTGTAGTCTTGTCTTGTTAGTTTTTAGTTTTTGTTTGACCCTCCCTCATGTTTTCAGTGTTTTATTCTTTCGTTAAGTTTTCAGTGTTTCCTATTTTATTTTATAGTAGTTGATTCCTTGTGTTTCAAATCTGGTTTTACTTCCCTAGTTTTCCTTCCTTCGTTAATCACTAACGAGTTTCACCTGTGTCTCGTTTGCCTCACCTGTTGCTCGTTACCCAGTGTGTATATTGTCCCCGTCTTCTTCCCCTCTGTCCTTGTTGGTTCATTGTATGTTTGTTTGTCGATTTTGCCTTTTGGATTTTCTCTTTTTGTTTCTTTTTTATTTAGTTAATGAATTAATTAAATCCTTTTTTGTCTGCATTTGGGTCTTGTTCTTTGTTTAACCCTGTGCATCATTACATTACTGAATATGAAAGTTAAAACTAAATCAGGGGACTCTTAGATGGCTATGAAACAAAATCTGACAACAAAAGCTGTTAGAGGTATCATTTCAAACAGTGTCATTTAATACGGATGATTTCACAGGACCTATATGATTTAGACTTACAATAATCTACATTCAAAACAAGCTGAAAGATGTAAATGATGGACCATGTAGGAGAATTTCAGTGCAGGTGATCCAGTCTAAGGTGACTGAGATGTAAAAGCCTGTAACAGTGTGTTCTTGGACTGCAGTGTGTGACAGAAGCCGAGGCTGGTAAATATGGATGTGTCTTTTGTTCAGGTAAGCTGAGCAAAAAAGGCCTCATGAGAGATCAATCTCAATGTTGACATTTGCAAGGCGAGCTTAGCACAAACTCATGAATAGAAATAAGCGTTTGTGTGGATCTTTGTGCTGGATGTGGGCAGCTTTTAATGACAGACAAACAGAGAGAGAAAAAAGACAGGGTGAGTGTCAAAGTGAAATGGAGATGTATGTAACCTCCTTCAACATCACATATGCCTGTATCAATGTAAGCCTGTTAGTTGTAATTTCATCACACAAAGTAGATTCTTGCCTTTGTTGTTTCCTGCTGTGAAACTAACCACTCCTAGTTTGTTTGGCCTTGTCTCGTGTCATTTCATTTCAACACACAAATCTGAGAACACAATGAGAAGAAACCAGGATATAAATGAAATCTGAGGTTTGATAAATACGTAACATTCAACAAGTACCTGTGTAACTACGTCAGCCCCATCGACCTTGTTTACTTTATGTGATTATTTTCAGATAGTCAACAAGTGGGTTGTTGATGTCTCCATTGTTGATTTGAAACAGCTGTCAGTGGGTGCAACTTAAACTTCAACAAATCGTGGAATAGATCTGATGTGTAGGTGGTGATACAGAAGCAAGGCGAGAAAAGCACAGATTATAAAAAAGTTGTGATGAATGAAGTCTTCAGTGTTTTCTCTGTTTATGATTTCTTTACCTTTTATAGGGTCTCATATGGTTAGCGATCGCAGCATGATAGGAGGCGACGCTAAAAGGTGGGATTCAGATAATTAGAGTCTGCTAAGTCGTCTTTAAATTAAGGCTATCATGGGAAAATACACAGTCCAGGTTTGTCCAGCCGTTTTACTGTCTGAACCCTTAACTGTTGTTGTGTTTGTACAACCAAGGGAGAGAGAGAGAGAGAGAGAGAGAGAGAGAGAGAGAGAGAGAGAGAGCGCCCTTGCATGTGTTTGTGTGAGAACGAATGTGTTGGAGCGTGTTTATGTCCTGGCATTTGTAACTGGTAAAGAGCGATGACCTGTGATAAAACTGCAGCCTGCAGAGCGTTATGGGAATCACTGCAGCGTAGCGTGGTCGATTGCACCTGTTATCAAAGTATAGCACTTACTGAATGTTCAATTCTGAAGAATAGAGCAATAATCTCCGGGGATGTGACCAAAGATTAATGTTAACTGAGTGTCTGAGAGGCGCCTCTGCTCTTTAACCTGTGAAGTCTCTGGTTATATCCTGTTTCGGTGAATTCTGACTATTCAGAAACTGCATAGTAGGAAGTGTTTGTCACAATCTAAGCAGAAACAGATGAACTTTTATCTATAAAAACAGATTTACTGAACAAAAGATGTACATCTCACAGCCAGCAGGAACTGTTTCTAAAATCGTACAAAAGATGCAAATCATGAGAAAATATTCTGCAAAAATATCCACGTCCCATTTGAATAAAGGTCAATTTTCTAAAACAATGACTTGAATGGATGACTTTAATTTGATATTTGTGATGGTCAAAAGTTTCTCTGTAGTCCCGAATGTGCAGTGACCCACAACAGGTACACTGGTTAAAATCAAAGACCTCTTTTTTCTGCCCTAAATTAGCTCAGCGTGTTCAAATCAAAATTTCAAAGTCTTGGTTCTTCATGTTCAGTATGTCACCTGTTGATAGTTTGAGTGTTTTGGTGCAACAGCAGTCCAACAATTTCATCTCCCGTTGAGAGACATTGAACCTGTAAAGTCCTTTTTTAATTTTTCTTGTGGGTTGCTGATATAATTGTGAAAGTACACATCATCACTTTGTGTCTGCCTCTTAGCATGCGACTATGAGTACTCTTAGTTCACGTAGCAGTAGCAGGAGATTATGGTGGTCCTGTGTTTGATTTCACCTGTTTTCAGTCAGCTGAAGAGCACATGCAAAGCTTCAGGAAACCAACAATGGAAGAAAGTGTTAGGAAAAAGACTTTCCCTCTGTATAATTACTGTCATCTTTGCTGTTTATTGTCAGAGTTTATGTGAGGAAGGTTGACCTTTGCAAACTCTCAGTCTTTAAAAATAGGAGGAAAGTAGAAAATATTACAAAAGCAATGAAAGAGAGCAAAGCAGCCAGAATCAATACGAGAACAGTCTCAGCCAGCTGAAGATCTGTCTACCAAAAGGGGACAAAAGGAAAGATTTCAGGTGGAAAGGAGGAAAGAAAAGCTGTTTCTTCTTCAAATCTCTGAATGTGCTTGACGATCAGGGGCTCTTAAGAGGCCAACAAGTTAAACATCAACTCAAATGTTGTATACATTCAACTATGAATGCTTCAGCACGTCAAAACTTTCTATTTTTATTAGGAAATTTAAAGCTCATGCGTTTTACAAGCTGTCTCTTCAGTTACATACTAGGTTATCTCCAGGTCACATGCGGGAGCATCTGTATAGAAAGAATGAGGACGTGAGGATGATGAGATGGAAATAACTCCACAAGTTTACTGTCATCTTCGCAGAAAAACAGCAGAAGGGACTAAACAAAAAGAGTCATCACAGCTATAGTCTGAACATAAAAGAGCAGGAGATGAAATCAGGATAGTTTGTGGAAAGTCACTCAGCTCCAGTCTTTCCTTTAAACATTTGTGGTAAACAACCCTCATCAAATGTGTTCAAAAAAGTGAAGATGTGTGGTGTAGCTGCAGTTTACAAAGCTCTGGGTGTTAAACAGAGCTCCCGCTTTGTCTGCTGAATAATCAGATGATGTTTGGAGACTTTATTGATTTCTTTTGTTGTTATTCTGTGGCGGCTGTCCTGTCCTCTGCCAGCTCACTGTGTAAAGAGTCAGAGGCCCACAGGAGAGGATACACACCCCTACACAGACATCACAACACACACATGCAGAGTGATGCACATGACTTTAAGTGGTGAGGGAGGTTCATCTCAACAAAACCGGCAGCTGCAGGTCTCTCTGTTTCTCTCTGCCAATCCCAATCACACACTTTTTACACACACACACACACACACACACACACACACACACACACACACACACACACACACACACACACACACACACACACACACACACACACACACACACACTGTTTGGTCGATCAGACAGCTTGTATGAATGATGATCTATCACAGCCACAGATATTGAATCGAGGTCTAATCTCATGAGGTGTTTGTTTAGAGGACACACAGGGCTCACACTACATGAAACCCTGCAGCGATGGACAGTCTGGAGGAATATTAGACACAATCAATCACTGACAATAGCCAGAGGCGAGAGAGCACTACCTGAAAATATACGTAAATTTAACTATAAGTTTATATTAGCTTGGTTTATGATAAATAAACACGATCGTTTGAAAAGTTTTGCCTCTTTATTTCTTTGTGTTCCTCTTTTAATTGAACAGGCAGAGCTCTTGTGATAAAGAACAGATGGGTTGAGCGATATAAACTTGGAGGATATGAACCAGAAAGTACAAATTTTAGCAGATGAAAACATACTATCTGGCAGCAAAGTGGCATTTCATGAGCAGCGATGCACAACAAGCTCTTTGAACAGCAGGAGGAGGAAATTACATTCTCCTAAAATCTGTGAGATACCTAAACCAATGGTGCTGCATTAATGCAAAATACAATTTTTACTTCTGCATCCTCAACTGCATCTTTTTTGATCAATTTTATTGAGTCAATCAGTTTCTCTCAACGCCTAAAAGAGTGGAGGTTTGACGCTTCTCTGGGCTGTATCAGGGTAAATGTTTTCAGCTTTAAGAGTGAAGGATGAGGACAAGAGCGTCTGGCAGGATCAACACGAATCTCCTGCCTCAGATGTATGATTGCATTGAAAATCCACAAAGCTCGACACGATATTTTCACATCCCAGAGGCCCCTGCAGCTCGTCCCCGTCTCATATGTGCTCTGAACGCTGATCGATTCCACACTCAGCCCCACAGAGCTTTTAAATATTTCACATTCAAGTACAACTCCTAGTTGTCAAGAAAAAACGATTAACAAGTTTCAGAGTCGCGCTGAGCTCTCTGGAGGAAGAAAATGTGAGAGTCAGACGAGAAGAAGTCTTCAGGCACTGAGGAAACATTAATGAAATGTCAAGAGTGTTTAAATGACTGTCATCTCTGACTCGACTTACATTTAGAATCGACTTTATCCTAAATATCTACATTCTTCAGTATACTCTTATTAGTTTATATGCCCATTCGATGTTCACATAAACAAGGGATTAAGGGTGTTTCCACACATGAGAGTCCAGGCTGGCTGGCGGGCATCTAACGTCAACACATTGAATAACGTGGGTCTTAAATATTGTAAACATGAATAAACTTGTCATTCTCCACATCATATTATTGTTGATTTTTAACTACCAACAGCGATAACGTAAAGAGCCGTACATGAGGCTGGTCTGAGTTCGTCTTTTGAATTTTATCATTAGATGACAACTTTATTGTCGGCGACACAAAAGGAGAAGAAAGTACACAATCCTGCGAGCCACTGCAACACCAACTCTGGAGAGAAAGTACAACTCTTGAAAAGATAACCTGTCAATAGTGAGGTATATCTTTGTCTACAATATTGTAAAATTTCCTGTTTGTGAACAATCTCCAATACACATCATAACGCACACTTGTACTCCTCATGTCATTTCCTGTCTTTGGTACATACTGGGCATGAACCAGACCATGGTCCAGTTTGGTCTGGACTGAGACCACCTCTTTTGGTTGGACCAAGGTCCAGCTGTTTGGTCTGGACCAAGGTCCTGGGGAGGTTTCACACCTCATTATGGTTTGGACAAAACAGAAATGTCTGAAAGTCCGGACCAAACGACAAAGGTGTGAAACCCCCTTAAGTGTCATATTAGGAGACAAAGGAAAAGACAGTTCTCACTGGTTTGCACAAAAGCCTTTGCGTTCATTGAGACTTTTGATGGTATAAAACTTGACAAATGGAGGATTACACGTATACCTCTCAGCATAGCAGCTTCTTCTCCTCGAAGGAAATCGCCGCAATTTCAATTTCACCAACAAGAGGAGGGGGCAAAGGGAGCATTTTGATGTCTGACTCACGCGGTAAGGTTAAATTAATCAACTTGTCCTCTGACACCTCCAGATAGGACAATTCAATCTGATCTGCACATCCTCGTTGTTCAAGCACTGAGTCCAGGTTTATTGCGGTGACACTTAAACAAAAAGCTGAGCATGTCACTTGAGCTTTTTATTCTGTATGATCACAAAGAGTGAGACTAATTACAGTGAAAGCTCTGGATCCTCCATCTGACACTAAAAGCTCATTACACTCCCGCTTTGAGGGGCTGAAGTACAGTCACACTTGTTTGTAAATTGATTGGTTTGAAAGATATCTGAGAGGATGTGGGTATACATGAACAAATACGGTGAAAAGAATCAGGAAACAAGCTCAGAAAAGCATCAACCAGCTTTCCTTTTCATCACATAAGATTGGCACAACTTCATTAGAGGAAGTTTTAGGTTGGTTCTTAAATCTGTTCCCTTTTATTGAGGCTCCAAAATTAGTGTGTGTATGTTTGTGCATTTGAGTTATTGGAGAAAAGGCTATGGTTTTGAGAGTATATGATAATGAGAAACTCACACAGGCCTGTGATCGGGCTTAAACATGGACTTCAAGCTTCAGTCTTTCAGTAGGGAGAAGGTAGATAGAATCACACACACACACACACACACACACACACACACACACACACACACACACGTTTAATAATGCAGAGGGTATCATTGCAGGGCTGGTGTTTTTAAATGAGCTTTGTGAAGAGGGAATATACGACCTGAGATCCACACAGCATCCATGATGGAGAAGCTGCCCTCACTGGTTGTGCCCAGTGATGGGAGCCTTAAGGCTGAAACATACAGGATCCATATTGAGCACATAACGTCAGCATCGCGTATCACACAGCAAATAGGTTGCCATTCTAATCGATACAGCATCCCATACAGGACGTGTATCAGCTCCGTCGCAGGACCGTATCGAACGCAGCACTGCAAGAGATACACGCTGAGTCTATATTTGCTGCTCTACGCTTCCAATACGCGTCAATTCACACGGAGAAGATCGTTCTAGACAGGAAGTCAAAATAAAACACCGTATGTGAACTCCCGACTGTGTATCAGTTTGTGTGGATGACAAATATTCCCCGGTTCTGGATTTATCAGTAACACAGAACAATCCGATGGTCAATCCGTGATCCATTTGGACCCCAACAGGACTTTGAACGGCTAACTCTGTCTGAAGGTAACAGCACCGCATAAAGAAACAGTTTACTTTATTAAACACGAATAAACCTGCAAAAAAACAAAACTTTGAAACAACGTTGCTTTTTCACATATAATAGAGGCTCAACAGTCACTGAATTATATCCAAATTAGCAGGAAATTGACCACAGAAAGGCAAAACTACCTGTTGCATAAAGCACGTTGTTTCCTCTTCACTGAGCCCAGCTGACTGGGGCTGCGCTACGCTGCTGCTACACTCCAAATATGCTCCTCCAAACATCGGATGTAGAAGAGATGTGCAGATCGAGTCAGTATTGGGTCAGTCCGTCAAAGATCACCTCTAGACGTCGGCACAACGTGCAAAATAGATCCAAGATTTAGACGTCATTATCGGACCTCTTTTAGACGTTGAAATGACGTCCACATTTGTACCTCACTGTCAAAAAAATATGTTAAATAGATGTCATTTCGAAGTCCTATTGTACAGTGGGGATCCTGTATGCGATATCCAGCGCTGCTCCATGGAGCAGATACATGATGCGGACCGAACACGCTCAGTACGGATCCTGCATGTTTTCGGCTTTATATAGTAGCCTATACCAGGCATGTCCAAACGATTCCACAAAAGGCCGGTGTGGCTGCAGGTTTTTCTTCCAACCAAGCAAGCAGCAGCACACCAGACTTGATTCATTTCATCAGCTGATCTCAGTCTTCAGACAGCTGATTGGTCAGACTGTGTGTTCTTGATTGGTTAAGTGCACTGAGTGGTCAGACTGGAGAAGAAGCTTTATAAACATAATCGATTTACCATTTCAGTTCTAGATGGTTAAAAGTTAAAAGGTGGAAACAGCTCAAGTTTGTATTTTTGGGACAGAGAAATGATAAAAATTCATCTAAATTATGGATGCTGTTCAACATGAAAGTGAGAAAAAGATATAATTAATGTTACATACCTATTTTCTCCTATCCGCAGTGATGTTGAGTGTTAACAAGTCAACCTTAATGCGACGTGTACTTTCAATACGCGTGCTGTGAGCTGTCATGTATTGAAATGTAAGAACACAATAGTGTTGTGTGAGAATTAAACCTTGATACCCGATCATCAACAATCAGGTATCAGGTGGTATATTAACACCTCACATTGAGCAGATATCGAGTTCAACACAGTGATGCACATGCACACCTCGCTGGTGATAATGAGGCAGGTAAGAAGTAAAGCGGTGATATTTCAGTTCCAATCAAACTGCTTTTACCTTTTTTTAATCGACTCTTTTCATCTATAAAGGGATTTTTATCTGCACGTATATCGTTTATCTTTTATGAAAATGATGTTTTACGCTCAAGAAAAAGGGAACAGATGCAGTTTGACCTGTTAAGATGCAGGTAATTTACTGTTTACTCAGCAGAGGATTTATGCACCAGGTGCGGACTGCAGCTGTGTTTATTCAAAGCGATGAAATTAAATCAGTCAGGACAATTTAGCTGTCAGTTTGCACGGTCCAGAATTGTGACCAATCCAAAGATTTAGAAAATACAACTGTTTGTACACAGTGAGAGGTTCAGGAGTGACAACTATTAGCCAGTTTAGTTCCAAAACAAACTGTAAAGTCTGCAGCAAACTTTCCATCCATCCCTCCATCTTTTTATCCATCTGTCAGATCGTTCTGAGTGAATGTGTGAGGCAGGAGGACGGTGATCCTGAGCGATGGATATCAGGCCTTTCATTTCCATCCGAGTAAAGGTCAACAGATCCTCACTCTTTTCCTCCTGAGCTTGAAGGATTGGTGGATACTGGGAGAGGATGGCAGCAGGCTGACAATACAAGAGGTCTCTTCAGGCCAGAGTAAGAAAGAAAGAAAGCTGTTATCCTCTGACCTTTTAAGGTGAAAGTAAACCAAGACTCGTCCAAAAATAAGGCAAGAAGTTTGTCAGGTGTTTCATCACGCAGTAGTGACATTTCAGGATAGACAAAAGGAACAATTTGTTTCATAGCTTTGAAATTCTCAAACTCTATTTAAAGAAATCAACAAAACAACAACAAAAAAAGGAAAATTTCACAGAAAAAAATAGTAAATAAGACAGTCAACATGTCTTAAGGATGTCTCTGTCAGTTAGCTATAGCAGATACGATATTAACATATTCAGCAGTGAAAGTCTGATTATTTGATGGTTTATAGGCTACCCTCCCAGGTTTTATTGAGATGTGTTTAGAGTAATGTATCTGAACTTAAGGATTAGGTAGTCAGTCAATGTCAATCTGGGTGTAAAAAAGATAAATGAAATATTTTCTCATTGGCCACTTTTAAATGTAACACTTATTTCTATTTTTTTAATCTGTCTTCTTTGTTACTTTCTGTATGAAACAACTTGTCCAGAGTCTTTGTCAGCTGAATCTAAGGGTAGAGTCCTGTGTAGAGTGATTTAAGGTCATTGAACCAGTATTATGGTATTCCAGTCTTTACTCGGACATTCTTCAACTTCTTGAACTGATTGAGCACTGCATGTTGACTGGTTTATACAGATATGTACAAGTCAGAGGCGGAGAAATCGTCTGTGAGAGACCAATAAAACCACACCTCAGAAAGTAAATTCAACACGCTTTGATATGCACAGCCCTATATGTTATCACAATATTTCCTCCAGGGCTTTGAACATTTACGGTGAATAACATCTTCTATCTTTTGGGGAAATTAGTGTAAAAAAAATCTACAAAAACATTTAAAAGGGAAAGCAAATGGTAGATCTTTCTATTTCTCGTTCTTCTTCTACTGAACCCAAAAAGGACTGAATACAAATGTAGTTTAATTTGGTTCCATGATATTGGATAAAATTGTCTGTTTGTAAATTCATTAAACATTTATGCAAAAAGTGTGAATGTAGAGTTGAAGCTGTAGCTTGAGCATCTGCTTTTGGTAAGAATGACTTTAATAAAACGTCCTCCTACATTAAAAACAAGGAAATAGTCGCCTCAAACACAAACATAGTGTTGTTACCATCGTAAAACTCCAAATCTCTGGAGGTTTAAAAGAGTACATTGCTTTCATTATACTGAACTTACTTGAAAGTGTCTGAAATTGATTCAAACTAATGACTGAGTATTATAGATGGAGCTAAATTATAACAACTACAAGTCTGTTTGGGCTTTGTGCTACTAGAATTAAATACATTTACATATAATCATATGGATCTAAAGAGGATGATATAATGTTTGTCACCAAAAGCAGGTCCGGGGGATGCAACAGAGATCTCAGAGGACTTTGTTTGTTCTGTGGTTGTCCAAATTAAATTAAATTTGCACATATTCACTAAAACTTTTATTAAACTCAAGCTGAACAGTTTGGATAGTTCTGCCTGTAGATACAAGAGAGTAAAAAAATACCTTCTTACAGTTTACTTCTTTTATTTTATTTTTAAAACCTACTGGAAGGCTGTTTTTCTAAGATACTTTAAGGGGGCTTTGAGGACAAAACTTGGAAACATCTGATATTTAACACTCAAACAGCACTGATTATTTGAAGCTAATTAAACTATAGATGAGACTATAACTATAGCAGTGAGGAAAATGCATGAACTGTAAACATTTTCATTATAAACATGTCAAAAGAAACTGTACTCATGCTAGCAAAAATGGCAAAAATTAAAGGGATATTCACCTACTCTCTTCCAGCAGCCGCTTGTTTGTAGCAAGACCTCCAGCCAGTCCATTATGAAGTACAATGGGGTGATGCAGCTCAAGGAAGAACATTTATGACCATTACTTCATCAATTCCTTTAAGTAATACTCACCAGATCAATCATTTTGCACTGCAGACACAGTAGTTCTTCTGCCTTAGCGTCTCGGACTGATTGCATTTCCATGAAGTAATGATCATAAATGTTCTTCCTTGAGCTGCGTCACCCCGCTGCGGTAATGAACTCGCCTGAGGTCTCGTTACAAACAAGCGGATGCTGGAAGAGAGTAGGTGAGTTGTGTTTCGTCTCTTTGCTAAAGAAATCAGGCAAAACTAAAAAGATGTTTGGTGGCTAGTGCTGTGGCTGGGACCCTATATGTACTGTTGATGAAGTTAGGTGCTGTTCTGAGCATTATTTGTGGCTATAGAGTGGCGTTTTGGTTGAGGTTTGTGCATAGAGACATAGACCGCTGTGTTTGCTATTGTGCGGTTGTTACTAAAGTTGGTATAACTAGAGAAGTAGGAGGTCGGCAACATTCATCTCTCGAGGGGGTCTCTAACTCTGTGTTACAGTGTGTTTGATCCTAAATTAATTTTATGCTGGGATATCCCTTAAAACCCTAAAATTACAGCCTTTACTGGAAAGCTACATGACAAGTGCTGAGCGACATGCAGAGTTAATTCAGCCGTTATGTTAGACAAGTTAATGCCAAGCAGAAAAATTTCTCACTCGCTGACGTTCACTATGAGCACCTGAAATCACTTTCTAAAGGCTGCAGAACTGAGGTCTAGATCACATGACTTTCCATCAATCACCCTCTGAATGAGAAAAAAAAGTACAGTGTACTTTTCACTCAGTGCTGAAAAGGTTGGACATGAGATTTTGAATGATGGGCCCTGGAGGAGCCATTATCCAGAGTTGTAGTTTTAATGCTGGGCCTGGAGCAAAGTTATGGTAAAACACATCAAAGCTGCTTTATGACTTTGTCCTCCTCATGTCACAACTCGCTCCGGCTGGCACTGGGCCCACATGCCTTCGTCCTCTGACCTTGTTCATGATGTGGCCGTTAAAACTGGAGCGTGCAGATACTCACGGCTGCTGTCCAACTCACATACTCAAAGCCAATAAACACACACACACTCAGACACAAACACACACACTCACACAGGGGCACACAGGACGGCAGTAAGGTGAGAGCCCCTTGTCTTTGTTTTGCAGTCAGCTAAAACATGCCACAGCTCATTGCACCATTCAGCATGAAATTACAGTTTCTGACAGACGTCTGCTGATGAGTGGGAAAAAGAAAACAAAAGGACAACAAGGTAACTATCTGACACTGTTGCTTCATAAAAGACTCCCTTTGAAAAACAACATACTCTGTATCCAGACACACTAGAGATGTGACTGTATTACCAAAGGTTTGGCTTTGAAAGGAGGATGAAATTCATACTGCAGACTTTTTAGAAATATGCGCACGTAGAGAGGAGGATCTGAAGGACATCTTTGGTCTTTGACTTGAGGCTAATTACAGGCAGACGGGCCTGACATGGACGAAAAAAGGGTTAGAAAAGAAGAGCCCGAGGAAGTGATGACCATTAAAGACACTCACAGAATAACTCCCTGAAGCAGCAGATGAAATGGAGGTGCTCTGTACTAAAAGGCTGAAAACTAAAATGGATGTGAGTGTGAGAGTGGAGCAAAATGGGAAAAAGTCAGTAGAGGATGGAGATAAAGTTTAGTTTAATCTCAAGTTTTTCTGTGAAAAAGACAAAAAGTTCAGACCCAGAATGAAACAGCAGTTTTTGGCAGATCTGTTCATTCAGTGTATTTTTCTTTGAAAATTTGTTTCGCTACACTGATAAATGTAAACGGTAATGATAATACATAATACAGTGTTTCCCTGATAGTGCATTTGGCATGGCGCCCTGCCCTGCCAACAAGATTCCAACCCAGAAATTGAGGTTGTGGATTAATGTATACGTTTAAAAAAATATATATAGTTTGCACGATTCCAGACTAAAGCTCGCAATCATTTCATTACTTTCAGGAAAAATGTATCTCTCCGCTCGCTGCTTTCTCTCTTACTCACAACATACGCGTGTACCTGCGCTAGGTAGTTCATAGGCACGGCATGTCAGCACCACTGATTACGTTATTCTGGTCGCGAGTGCTTGCTGCTGATACCCTGCCAGTTTTGCACCAGATGATATTGACAATCCGGGGTTCTCGCTCCTTTCTATCGTGTTTGCTGCTAACAAAACAATTAAAAAACTGGTCATGGATCACCGAACTGTCCCCAAACATTCAGCAACCCTACTGAAAATATATTCTTCAAAAAGACCAAATGTAGTGATGCTTATTCTCTTGTGAATGCTAGCTTAAGCATCTCTCCCAGCCCCGAAAACAGTGCTAGCTCATCTCCCGCCTGGTATGGCGTAGACATACGACATAAGGGGTGACATATATCAACGTCATATCCCTACCCCCTCACGCCCTGCCAAAGTGAAAAAAGCGAGGGGAAAGACCGGCGCAGTGCGTCAAAGACGGGCACTCAGGTATTTCTCCTCCATGAATCCTGCGGTGTTTAATCATGTTGGTCGTTCACCCTCCTTTGTATGATTTAACTATGTTGCTAATGTTGCACTGAGATAAGAGTTCATCCTTCCTGCTAAAAATAGCCAAACTTTTTACCACAGCCACTGTGGGTTGAAATGCACTCTCTCTCTCTATGTCTCTACTCTCTCTCTGTGGGGATTCGTCTCATACGCTTCGTCTTCGTTAGCGTTCGGCGGCTTCTTCTTCGTTGGTGTTTAGTGGCATCTTCCTCGTTGGTGTTCGGCGGACTCCGGCATCGAAACTTGGAATCAAGATTTTAAAATTTGAACAATTCTAGGAGAATTGGAATGTTAGCCCCGGTCCCCATCGATGCTCAAGACTCGATGCCCAACCCTATCGATGATTGATCATTAGTTTACATGATTAATCGATCAAAGGACTGTCTTAAAATGCCCAATTCTACTCCCAACACTCATCCCATTATCATTGTGTCTTTGGGGAATTTGATAACCATTACTTTGTTGCTAATATATCGTATTAAACTGAAACTAACTGCGGTCTAATACTTTTCAGCTGTGTGTGACGTTGGAGGTGGGTGGAGTAGCTGCAGGTTCTGCTTCTTGTGAGAGCCACCAAGTGTAATCTGCCAACCTCTATCCCTTTCTCTTTTACACACAAACAAACCGCTATTACCTGGAGGATACATAACGAATCCCTCAGAAAACAGAGCTCTGACTCACACTCATCCTTTGACCTCTCACAGCACACTCGGTGGAAATAAAAACACACCACGCAGCTTCTAAGTGCATGTTACGACATCCTTTCTGCTTTTGTTTCCCAACACAAACGTCAGACACGACACTTACACTCCTGTGAGGTCTCCTGCGGTGGAGCTCTATCATGCTGTGACTCCTTAGAGGAAGACCAGAGGCTTCGGTTTCAAGACAAACTCTACCAGAGAGCTAAAAAGACCCCACAATAGCTCTGGAAATGTTCCCATCTGTTCAGGTAAAGTGCTGTGTTAAATGTCAGCCCTGAAATAGTATTATTCGGATGACATTTTTGTCCTTTTTCCTCTTTAAAAACGTCTGTGACTGAGGAATGTGATCTCATTGGTTTCAAAGGAAGGTTTGACAGCTTTTTGGTCTGTTGTAGAGAGCATCGGCAGCCTCTTTCAGGGATAAAAAAAAAATCATGTTTCTCTTTTATGTTCGGCGTAAATTGGCTTCCTTTGAGAACCAACTTTTCAACCCTCTCCTGTCTGCGGTGCACTTTTTTTGCTTTAAAAGGTGGCGTTAAGAGAGGGGAATGAATGGCAGGAGAAAAATGGTAGAAAAGAAGAAGTGAGGGAGGTTGAATATGTGGCAGGAAAATATCACCTAGATGTGTGCAGAGACAATGAAGGGAAAGGGTTGAAGTGAAAGTCTCAGTTTAATGTGTGCCCTTAACATATCTCAGCGTGGATGCTTTTACGTGAAGTGCTTTACAAGACGTCTAAGAGTTTAAATTTTGTGTATGAGTGACCCGAAGGGGATTGGGTCCTTAACCTGAGCTGTAAATGTGCCATCTGCACCCATTGACTCTCTTTTATTGGTTCAAATCTCTTCAAAGCTTTGCACCCTTGTTTTTGATTACACAGTAAAAGGACTCCGAGGTCAGAGTAAAGACTTGAATTTGTGGACAACTATAATTCATTGGCTGGATCTGAAAAAGGTTACAAGAAAAAGTGCTCCAACTGGAGTAAAAGTCTAACTTTGGGGTCATAAGATGAGAGTTTATGTCAGCTTCCTCTGTTATAACACTGAGCTGATAACAGTCTGACTCCTCATACAGCCTCAGGATCAGAATAAACTCTCTACAAAGTTCACAGTTTCTCCTCTCTGTGTGCTTCGATCACTAACACAGCTCATGTGGAGGACATTTTTTCTCACTGATTCATGTTACATTTTTTGTGAAGGGGATGCTTTCTATTGAGGCTGAACACTGAACTCAAACACACCTGGTTTCAAAGACAGTCAGTTGTAGAGAGGAGCTCTGACCTGTCGTCTGCTTCAGCCTGATGTGTTATCTGTTTGACGTGTGAAGCTGCTGAGAACTAAAATCCTTCAGACCTTTGCAGGTTTCTTTTCTCCTGAGGGGAGAAAGTTCCTCCCAGAGGAAGTGAGCACTAGGATTGTGATTAATTACTTATAGTCAGAAAGTGTGATAGGAGAGAGTGAGAGCAGACCACGCTCAGCAGAAAATGTCTCGTTTTCAGGCGAGTTTTCCTTTATTTTAAGAGTGTGACTATAGATTTCAGCTGTTAACTCTTTTTTTAAAATGTGCTCTGAAAGTTTTATTTGACAGAATCAGATTTAAATAAAGCCTGACATAAACTGACTTAAATTGCTCATGGATATTTTGGAGGATAAAGATACATTTTTAGGAAAAAGCAGAAAAATTACATGCAAACTATACTTTTTGTAGGGCTGGGCGATATGGCCTCAAAGCAATATCACGATATTTTGAGCAGTTCACCTCGATAACGATAAATGGATGATAACTACTCCAGAAGCTGCTCACCCCCTCCCACATTAACTTCGTCTACTTCACCCTCTACAACTTTTGAACCGTCCACCATCTCCTCACCTGTCTTTCCCTCTTTGTTACAGACTGGATGGGGTGGAGTCATGTCTCTGACAGCGTCTTTAAGGGACATGAGACCATAGCCTACCTACACACATCCAAAATCAACTTTTATTAATTTTTTTGACACTGACTATATCGAATTGGGCAAAATCATGTTGGTTATTGTCGTAAATTTTGGTATCGGTAAATTTTCAGTTTATCGCCCAGCCCTACTTTAGAGTAACTTAAAAACATTTGTAAGAACCTTGAATTTCTCTATTTCATACTGTCCTTTCAAGACTTCTCAGAGGAATTTTTGAAACACTGATCTCAGCATGTTCTGATTTTAAAAACACCTCTTGTAAAACATAGAAATGACTCATATACTAAAAGAGAAAGATAAAAAAAAGAAAAATGACAAAACAGAACTTGAAACTGAGAACTTATTCTAACACCAAGTGGAAGTAGTTTTACTCGATGACATGAAATAATCTGAGATGCTTTTATCTTTAAATTGGATCTTATAAATCTCTGTATCTCAGCATGTTTTCAAACAGTGCTGATTATGCCTGTTTTATTACTCCCAATGGCCCCATACAACCGGAGACATTACAGGCAGATATACACTACATCAACTGAATGGTATATGGAGACGCAGATGCTCTGCAGGGACAAATGCAGTGAAATATGAAACCAAACAATTGCGCTGCATCTTGGAATAAATTGCAGAGTCATTTAAAAAAGCTTTAAGGTAGATCTGGCTTGTTGTTAGAGAGGTGATTGTCCCCGAGGGAGACCACACAGTGCAAGAGGCTGTTCAGTTTGTATTCCACTCCTCTTCTACTTAGATAATAAATGTAATTAACTTTTCTGGTCAACGCTTGGTGCAAAACCTGCCATGACTGCTGCTGAATCTGCCTGTAGATGAAACAGTTCCATGTCTGCTTGTATGGCACCAGCTCCTCTTGGGTTATGTCAATCTTTACTCTGCAGAAAGTGCTGGAAAATCTTTGTTTTAACTGTTTTACCTTAAGGGAACAATGTAATGCAGGACTTTGAATTATCATTAGAACAGTGGCAGAGTTAATGAGGCAGAAAAAGTGACCAAGCAAATGCAAGGTAGGTAAAGCACTAGGTTCAGGAGAACTGCCTGCCCTCTGCAGTCGAAGTGTACTAACCATCTCTGACATTTCTGATGAGCAGCCATCCTCATAAAGCTGTGTCCTCAACTGTGTCCACTGAAAAAAGCAAAGACTTTGTGGTCCGTTTTCTCCTCAATCATGTGCCAACTTCTACATGCTAAGTTAGGGTGACCATATTCTGACTTCCCAAAAAAGAGGACACAACTACGTGGGGGCAGAGTCACGGAGTTGCACCAAGTTAATTTTGAGAGTATTTCGGGTCGGATCGAGTGTCTTTTATGCACTTCTAACTCAGTAAGTCCACGTGACACAAACTCGAAACTTCTGTACAAAATGGCAGACATTTGACGGATTTTATAAACTTCCCCAGACAAAGCCGGACAAGGCTGGACAGCCCCCCAAAAAGAGAACATGTCCAGGTAAAAGAGGACATATGGTCACCCTTTTTAAGTTAGCTTAAAGGTAACCTTGCTCAGAGCCCACCTGAAACCAAAGAAGGCAATTGCTGGTGTCAGAGAGGATACATGAAGGAAGCAGGACTGTAGCTGCTTAGCTTGGCCGCTCTTTCAAAAGTCAAAATATGTCTGGTTCAAATGCTTCCACCAAGCGTAGAATTGTTCCTGGGTCTTTTTGCATCCAGAAAATCAAATCATGTGTGGTCTCTGCTCATCAGTTTGTGTCATTTTTCCATCCGTAAACTTCAAAATAGTCTTTTCCTACCGCTGATACGTGAATTATGTCTCCCCATCAGTCCTAAAATGTTTAAATCTCCCTCTTAAGCTCATTATAGCCATAGCTTCCTCTTTTCACTTCCCCTCTTCTATTAAGGTTCAACTTAGAAATAGAGAAGTGGAGCATTAACGACATTAGCACATCATTTTTTAAGGTTTGTGTGTTTGATTAAGACCGGACATATACATATGTATTAGCTAGAGCCTGACAGAAACCTTTTGACCCGGGACAGGTAGGTGTTGGCCTCAGGGGTGATCAGGTGATTAAACGGTACATGAGGTGGAAGGAGGTGAGATGATAGAGACAAAGAGAATGAGAGAAGAGAGGAAGTGAGAGAGCTATTTCTGTATATTTAAGAGCGAGCAGGTGGAGACACACCGAGAGAAGATTCAGTGATAATGCAGCTCAAAGGGGGACAGAGTCCATCACCTCTCTGACCTGGCATATTGAAGACAGCAGCACTGGGTGCAGTGTTCACAGAGGTCACTCCTCTGATTATGCATCCACAGCCATCACACAAGTTTATGCACACACACTCTCTGTTTCTTCCTCTCCAGATGAAACATGAATTTAAATTAGCTCCACTCTCCCGGACAGAGGTACTGAGAAGTACTAAAAGTGACATTAAGGAAGAAAGACTCTCACCTTCTTCTTCATTGGCACAATGTCTGCTGCAGAGGTGTCTGAGTGTTACAGATAAGTGATAACTCACGTAGACGCACTGATGAAAAAAGATGCTCCTAGCTGTCTGATGATGATGGGTCAGTTTACAGTGTCTCTAAAAGGAAAATTAGTGATACAAAACTTATCGGGTTTAGAGGAACAGTGTGCAGATCTTGCAGTGAGTGCAAGATGCATCCTGAGGTTACAGTTGCAGGCTGGGAATTATGGGATTTATAAATGCAATGTCATTAGGCCAAGTCTGAGGTCGAATTTCAGAGTCAGAAGAGAAACATGGTCGGAAAGAATATGAATGCTGTGTTCCAGTCTTACTCAGAAGTCAGGATTTCTGAGCTCCGAGTAGGAAATTAATCTGGAACGCCCCCTTGAAGTTGGATTTCCAACTCGGAAAGTCGGATGATCCTGACCAACTCCAACTTGACGACAACTTCATAATCTAAGATGGCAGCGCAGTGCATCGGTAGTAAACATTGAAAGCTCTTGTAATGTATTATTTATGAGAAATTCTGTTTTGTTTTTGTAAAATTTTATGAAGTCAGATGTTGGAGCTGAAAATGATGTCACACCTGAATTACCAGCATCTCAGTTACCAAGTCGGAAAAAACAAAATCGGAGGCAGAAACAAGATGGCTACATCTACTCGAGTTATTTCAGTGCTTGCCTTGTCCTTGTTATGTTTGGAAAAGGCAAGCGCTCAAATAACTTTCGTAGATGTAGCCATCTTGTTTTTCGCCTCTGATTTTGCTTTTGTCCGACTTGGTAACCGAAACACAGGAAACTCGAATGCAGCATAAGTGGAATTTGTTGTACGACCCAATGTCTAACTGTGAACACGGTGCTATGGTGTTTGTACGAGTAAAATACTATGTTATATGTTGTTTTCAACTGGTATAGCCTACAACAACTAACAACAACTGACAATGGCTGACAGTTGTAAACAACAGCTAACAACGACTAATAGTAGGCGTCCATCTTGGTTTTCCGACTTGTTTACTGGAACGCTGTCAATTCCGGTGTGACGTCATTCCCAGTTCCGACTTCCGAGGTAACTGGAACGCAGCAGAAGCGTTCCCACACAATGTTGTTGAACTCGACACCATAAAGATGAAGAGCAGCGTTCACCAATGGCTCCTACGGCCCTCTCTGTCTTCTGCTGATGACCTCAACATCTGTCTTTAACCAGGTGACAGTAAGAGGCAAGCGATGATAATGAAAACACTGCTTGGTTGCCAGAGTGATGAATAACATTGTCTAGTGAAGTAGAGGAGAAAAAGATGGATAACAGAGGAAGAGAGAGAGAGGAGTGATGCTAGAGTGAAGCACCAACACAGAAACGGGGTGTAAAAACCCAAACTATCAAGCTGGCAGTGAGAGTACAAGGAAGGAAGAAGGAGCTGTCAGCAAAAGCATTTATCATTAAAATATTATGGGCCAGGGTGTCTAAAAGCTAAATTCCTGAGAGTATAATTTTTCAACAGGCTATAAATCAGCAGATGGACCAAAACTTAAGCAAATCCTGCTTCCCCTCCAATCACACTACAGCCAGCAGTTCCTGCATAACAGCAGCCTGTAACAACACACCAGTCAGGTTTCAGGTTTTCCTCACTGAGAGAAAGTGTTCTTTCTGTTTGGCTGCTGAACAACAGTTAGAGAGAGAGCGAGGGTTATTTATCAGAGAGCACTGAGAGCATTTGAAGATAAATGAGTGAAGGAATATCTCTCGGCCTTCACCACGGGCAGCTGTGGCTCAGTGGCAGAGACGGGTGCTGAGGAGCCCTTTGAATGGGATTAGTTCATGCTTGTGGAAATCACATGTAGCAGAGTCTGCCATCAGCTCATCAATGTGGTGTGAATAAGTGAATGTTACAGGTATTGTAAAAGCGCTTAGAGTGGTCAAAAGATTAGAGTATGTGCAATATAAATACAGCCTGTATATCCATGGTGTTTTCAGCTCAGTTCTGCTCTATGTTAAACATGCATATTGATACGAATAGAAACACCTCCCCACTTGCTTCTCTAGTTACACCAACTTTAGGAATGAACACACGGTAGCAATACACAGTGGTCTATGGATCCACGCGCACACCTTAACCACTCTATAGCCACAAATAATGCTCAGAACAGCACCTAACTTCATCAACAGTACATATAGGGTCCCAGCCACAGCACTAGCCACCAAACATCTTTTTAGCTTTGCCTTATTTCTTTAGCAAAGAGACTAAACACAACTCACCCACTCTCTTCCAGCAGCCGCTTGTTTGTAGGGGGAGCCCTGACGAGTACCGAGTGGGGTTACGCAGCTCAAGGAAGAACATTTATGATCAAGTGGTTGGCAACATTCATCTCTCGAGGGGGGCTGTCTAACTCGGTGTTACGGTGTGTTTGACCCTAACTTGATATTACGCCATGATATATCCCTTTTAAAGGGCTGCTATTGCTAGCTTGCTAAAGGCTGCTTCTTCTTCATCTCTCCTCTGTTTCATGCCACCAGCGTAAAGGACCAATAAAGAGAACACACAGCATTACCATATGCTTATTTTTTTAACACAATATCAAAATTCCATTTTAAAAAGACAGTCTGTGTTGATACAAATATATGTGGCTCAAATCCAACTGAACTCCTGAGTGAGTGTTGAACATCGGTCCTCTTTGAGTCCCCAGAGACTTGATTTCACATCATCATTTCTCTGTCAAACTTTGACCCTGGATGCGTCAGTGTGTGTCCTGTTTCTCTGTTGTGTTTTGTACTTTCTGTTCAAGATATTTAATAAGCCTCCCTCTGACACAGAAAAACATCAAGATCAGACAAGAACTCCGCTGCTCCCAGCACCCTGAACTCAGGTCAGCGGTGAATCTCTGGACAGACATGATCTGACTGCTCAGGGCTCAGTCACTCTAGGCCTGCACATCTCTGTGTTGTTACTGTTTCTGTTAGTCTACATTTACTCTGCCTCAGTTATCCAGTCAGACAGAGAGCAAATATGTTCATTTGTTTTGTTGTGTTCACAATGCAAATGTTGACTGAGGGTGAATTAAGTTTGTATACAGAGTGGGAGATAATCTGATTAAGAGCGTGGCCGTCTCACTTTAAATAAAGGCCCTGTGGGTTTGTGTTAAATGTTTGTTTTTATAACAGTATCGCGTATAAGACACAGACGTTCACTGATGGGCCTATATGATAATTGTAAACAAGACAGCGCAACCACTGTGAGTTAACAGCAAAATAATCCATATAAAATATCAAAGTTATATGTGTGTGGGGGGCAGCAGGTTGGACGTAGTGGTTGGTGTTGTTTTCTCTTGTTACTGAAGAAGATAAATACATGGTTTCTTCTTGTTGATTTGTCTCCAGCAGAGCAGAGTCGGAAAAGAAAAACAGCATGAAAGAAATCAAAGTCGATGTCGTGATTCATACAATCATAGATCAAGGGGTTCTTTCTGTAAACCAACAAACTCCTGTTGCACTTTCAAATCGAAAAAGCCAAAGTTTTGAGATATATCCTTACATTTTGTGACAGTTCCTGAAATTTCTCCTCTGCAGAAGATTTCAAAGGAATAAAGATTTTTCAGATAAACTTGCAGGGTAAAGGGAGGATGAGATCGCTGGTTCAAGCCCCTGAAAGGAGTTTCATTTACAAGGTATCTTGCGGTCAGCCGTGATACATAGGTATTTGATGGAGGGTGAAGTGGTTCTTGAATCTGATTGGGATGCCTCCTGGGCATCTGGAAGAGGGCCAAAGGTTGACCCTGAGCTTGCTGGAGGAATTACATATCTTATCTGGACTGGGAAGAACTCAGGAGGATCCTCAGAGGGAAACCAGAAAATACTGCCAAAGAGAGGGATGTCAGGCCTGAGTTACTGGGCCTGTTTCCAAAAGAACATTAGAGGAAAGTAGGTGGATGGTCAAGCAGATGGATGGATGGATGATGGATGAATAGATGGATAGATGGAAGGAAGGATGGATGGATGGATGGATGGATGAATAGATGGATAAATGGAAGGAAGGAAGGATGGATGGATGGATGGATGGATGAATAGATGGATAGATGGAAGGAAGGAAGGAAGGATGGATGGATGGATGGAGTGTCTTTTGTTTTAAAGATGCTGTGAGGAGCTTTTGCCTTTCATTTGGTTTTGGCGCCCCCTGTGGACATTATCAGGAGTCCAGTACATGAGAGACAAATCTTAAGACAAATGCCGCATCTTGATGTCTCTTAACTGCAAAATGTGAGTACATTTCCAAATAGTAAATAGAAAGCTGTTGCTCCAGCTTACTGTAAATCAACAGGTTCAACACTTACCCTCCTCAGGCATCAATAACTACAAGTTCTCTTCACTGGTACTGGTTTCAGTCATGACTTGGTCTATGTACAAATGGTCTAGACTTTAACATAACTGACATTTTGCAAACTTTGACAAACATCACTCTTCCAGTAAATAGCTGTTGTTATTCAGTAGGTGGTGACTTCTTTCTCTATTTCATTTGGTGAATTTTGGGGGCCAAAATTGATATTGGGTTAGTATACTAATCAGTATTAGTACAACACAGTGATTCATATTTGGGTTTACAATCTGAGATTTACAGCAGTAAGACCCAAGTCCGTCATGATAACTAACTACTACTTTTAATAGATGAGTATTTACACTAAGTTGTGCTTAGTCTCTTTGTTAAAGAAAATAGGCAAAGTTAAAAAGATGTTTGGACCCTATATGTACTGTTGATGAAGTTTGGTGCTGTTCTGAGCATTATTTGTGGCTATAGAGTGGCATTTTGGTTGAGGTTTGTTTATGGCTCCTCAAACTGAAGTGTATTGCTATCGTGCGGTTGTTACTAAAGTTGATAAAACTAGAGAAGCAAGCGGTTGGCCACATTCATCTCTAACGAGTCTAATTCGGTGTGACAGTGTTTTTGACCCTAAATCAATTTAACGCCGGAATATCCCTTTAGAAAAATAAGCTCATTTACATGCACATGATCTGTTTTGTGAGATCATGTGCATGTGTGGATAGTAGCCACAGAGACATGAGTGATATTTTTATTTACAGTCTCTGTGCTCTGGGGATATTAGCCATCCCAGCTCTTTTATCACTATGGCAACAATGGCGTTTCGGCCCTGCAGCCATGTTTTTAATGTGTCATCACTAACAGTGCAGTGACCTGGAGTTTGAGTGCTTTCTGGTTGAAAAAGGAGGTCTGTAGTGAGAAACTCCTCTGGGACCCCAAAGATCAGGAAAGTGCCCTCAGAAAAAAACATCAGGAGGAATCTGCTAGATCTCCGACTGCCCACACACGCCCGCCACTCTCTGTGTCGATATGTCTCTGGTCTCTTTTTCTCACTATCAGAAAACGAGTTTATCTGTGTTTTCCACATTACTGTCCATGCCACTGCCTTGAAGCTCATGTTGCTGCTTTATTTCTACTGAAAATCCTTCCTCCTGTTTTGTGCAGTGTTACTCGATTTTGTCCTCGCATGTGTGTGAGGGAGAAGCAGAGACATGAAATTAAATTGAAAAATGTGAATTTAACCACAAAAAGCCCCTGGCTATCACTGCTGTGCCCTCTCTTCTGCTCTAACACAAACTCTCCTCCTCTTTTTTTCACCCTCAGACTGTGATTTTTACACTAAATGTTTCCTCTCAGCAAAGCAGAGCCAGCCATGAATGACTGTTAGGGGGACACTGACAGCTGCTGTGAGGCATGCTGGGTAATGTGGGTAATGTTTCCTGATGAACAGACGAACCAAAACCTCCATGAACTAACCTTTTTTTCCTCATACTGGCAACTATCCCTCAATCTGTGTTTTCATTTCCCTCTTCAGGTATCTGTAAAAATCAATTTATTTCAAGCATGAAAGATTATTTATTCTGTTTTGTGACAGACTGTTTTTTACAATCTCGCCAATACATTTGTACTGAAAAGGCCTGTACCTATTGAACTTCCATGAAGCACAATTTCCATCATCAGTTTTTGCATATTTAATTTTCCCCTTTAGTGTGCTGAATATTAAACTAACCTTGGTAAATTGAAATGGCTAAGATCTTTTTGTGGATATGTTTGTATATATATACATGTGTAGCTAACCCAGCAGAAAAAAGAAAAAAAGGTGCTCTGTGTGTGTGTGTGTGTGTGTGTGTGTGTGTGTGTGTGTGTGTGTGTGTGTGAAACAGCAAGCGAGAGTAATTCCCCCCACACATCCTCTGTAGTCTCATCAGCAGCTGCTCTGTGGCCTCCATCCAATAACCTTTCTAATCACAGTCCAAACAAGCCAATCAATGCTCTTATTGCTTTAAATAGAAACATCTATTTCTCAGATGTGAACCTATCATAAATGCCCTTGTTGTCCTGCAGAGCTGGGAGTTAACAGACTCTCTCATTTGAAGTGAATAATGATGTGGAGATACATTGATTTGGCATCATTATTTCCTAAAAGGCAGCTGTTGTAAACAGTGTCAAAGCATCAATACAACTTCATCTCCTTCAGTCTGACCTCAAAGTGCAGTAAAGCAGGTAAGCATTGAACTACCAGCGTTTCAATCAATACATCTTGTCCACTTGTGAACAGGTGAAGTGATTGGCCTCTCGAGTTAACAAGAATATTTTAAATCAAAACTCATCTCATAAATTGGTTGGTCCAATTTCAGAACCTTTCACTGCCGTTTGGTAATTTGTGTAATTTAGCTTAAAGACAATTCATAGTAAACAGGGCTGGGACTCTGGCCTATTACTGATATGAGCATGACTAATGAGTATAGGGAAACCTGTGAGTGAGCAGAACGCGAAAACAAAAGCCACAAAGAAATAAAATGTAATTACACATAAAATCAAAATGAGGTTTGGTTCAAAGCTGGAGCGTGCTTAACATCAAAAAAACCTTTTTTCTTTATATGAATAATTGCTCATTAGCTGGCAGGTGGAGAGCTTTGTTTTGCCAACATCCCTACATTTCATAATATGTTGCCAGAAAACTCTTGCTGGAAATGATGCAGTTCAGGAGGCGGTCACTGAAAACCACATTCAGACTTGGCAAGAGAACTGGAAAGAATGATCACATTTTAAACAACAAAGTAAACAGACATAGGGACAAGACCAAAAAAAAAGTGCATAACAATAGCTATAGCAGTATTGTCAGCACATTAGTCCTATAGATGAGGTTTTATAGGTGTTTATCCACCAAATAGATTTAATGTGGTCTCTTTGTTGCATCATTTCAACACACACCAGTATATTTTAGTGGATATTTTTCAGTGAGAATACGAAAAAACACCAATTTAAGTTCAAAGTAGGGCTGTAATCAACCAAAGAAATTCTTGGTCGACTAAATGAAAGTCGACTGAAATTTTCAACCAAAAAACCTAACCCTAACCCTGACCCTAACCAAAAATCAACTAATCAGAGGGGGTACAAACCCGTCTGTGACAGGGGATGATGTGGGTCAGCAGAGCGCAGGCAGCAGAAGACACCAATTAAACACAAAAGGCAAGTTGAAATGCTCAAAATAAAAATAAATATTCAGCAAACCACCGGACGGTGATTGACATGGACATTTTACTGTCTCTAGCTGGTCTCCAGTGGGTTGGGCGAATCCAAAATAGTGAAAACAAGGAGGGTGTTCAGAGAACAGCTGTTACTTGTGAAATGGGGATGCCCATTAGCACTGGTACGTTCCTCCTGATGAATTTAACCATAGACTGCAAATTGACACAGAGAAAAATTGGGTTGAACAATCAGAATTTTGGTCGACTCAGCACATATCAACCAATAGGTCAACTAGTTGACCAGGACCTTACAGCCCAAGTTCAAACTAAGTAAGAATAAGCTACAGGTGTATATGATTCACACTAGTCAAAGATGATGCAGAGGTAGGTTGATCATGCAAACTTCACTGCATGATCACTTCAAATTTGATTGGCTCATTTTTCAATATGTAAGACTATCGTCTTCCTAAACTTTAATCCAATGGCTGCGTCAATAAAGGTAGATTGGGAAGTCTTTAAACAGCAGGGACAAAGGTAATGTTAACATCAGGATGACCACATAACTAGCAACATGGCTAAATACATGATCAAGATTAAAAATCGCCCTGTACCAAACCATCAACGTACCTTTCCGATAGAAAATGAGCGACTATGGGATCACTTTCGAAGCCCTTGACCTCTTTCAGTTCTCTTCATCGCTGAAAAGCTGTCCCAATGTTAACTTTCATTTTCACCCTTGCTTTCTCCAAACTCTGTCTTGCTTCGGCCTTTTCTGCCTCTCTTTCTTTTCTTGCTCTTTTTTAGATAGCAGCTATGTTTCACTCTTTTTTAAGAACACATCATGTATTGACTGCCATCGGAACATAAAGATCATTTTCACCAGAATAACAAAAAGAGTAATCTAAATCAGATTACCAACCCTACCTTAAATCCAATGGGATGGATGGATGGATGGATGGATGGATAGATGGATAGATGGATAGATAGATAGATAGATACTGTAATTATACTGTAATCTGTAACAATACTACTACTGGAGCATTAGAAGCTGAAGAACTTTTTACTTGTTCTACCAGAGCCAGAGCCACATTTAGGAAGATTAGTAACCGTTGTCACCATCTTCCCTATTATAGCTGATAAATCTATCATTTTAGGTATTAATGAAACTTTTGTGCTCAAGTAATCATAATGTGCCGACTGAAAACCAAGATGATTCAGAGAGAAAGCATTTCAGTAAAAGGGTTGCATTTGTGGTCTGAAGCACTTTTTCGAAGTTGAGGAAAAAGCACTGTGGGTGAGTCAACCAGAGGACAGAGGAATACTGAGACATAATCGCCAGAACAACAGTAAGATAGAGAAACTACTTTTATCTGTCTGAGGAGGTCAATGTGACTCCAAAAGCCTCCTCTGCAAAAAGGCTAAATTATATCCCTGAAACAGAGGGTCTTAGACATAGCTGCCAGAGTGAATAAATCCTGAAGATGAGAGTGTGTTTTCGCCTTATGTGTGGGTGTGTATGTGTATGTTACTGAGGTCAGAGAGAGAAAGAGAAATATAATTATGGACTGAGAGAGGTAGAAAACAGACAACAGATGTTATCACTTTTGACAGAAAGGGAAGAGATAGATGAAATACATTTTCTGCCCACGGTCATCACATATGTGTGAGCCAGAGATAGGAAAAAATCCACTCAATAAACCAATAATAACAGAAATAACATGGACAACCTCCATTCCATAAGTCTGACCCCAAAGATAGCTATATATGTATGCCCAGCACAACTCAAGTTTTGTACAAGCTGAAATGATTCATCAGCCAGTAACAGCCACTGCGGTTTTCTGTAAAGGTGACTAACAGAGACTTGAAGGTGTTCAAACCACCTGTTGTTGGCCTCTGACACACTGTTCCTGTTACTGCACGCTAGAGGCCAACCTCAGCCTCAGTATACCTACAAAGGTGTTAATTACTGTGCCTTTAAAATGTTCTAGTCTAGGTATGCACTGTGCACACATGGTCTGAGTGTGAGTGACTGACACCTCCATCTCTCATAAAAGCTCTGCAACACCAGGGTGAGAAAATGACACCTTTATATGCTCTTATGGAAAGATGGAGTTAGAAAGTCTGACATGGAGCTTGCTAAACTTTTCATACTTTTGATTTGGCACAAGAAACAGCAAAGATATAAGCGTGGTTCAAGTTATATGATATCACATAGGTCTGGATAGTGTTTTGTAGGATCTTGAGTATGTCAGGGACCAAAACCCATCTTTCTTTGGATTTCTAACCCTAACCCTGGATCAGTTTGAAGACAGTTGAACATGACATGCAACTGGTATGTATATCTGCATATTTTGCCGTCAAGGTCTGCTGTTGCCTTCTGTGTATGTGTTTGGGGGCCTCAGGGGAAAAGGATAGAGGGATTCAGAGCAAACAGAGTGGAAACCTGACTGTGCATGTGTCACAGACTGGACTGGATTTATGGATTATGGATGAGGGGTTCAGCAGGGGTCAGGTTTACTGTGAACAGGCCTCCTTCCAGCTGCCTGTTTGAGTGCAGGCAGAACAGGGAGTGTGGACACACGGTCATAACTCAGAGTGCACTCAGCAGTCAACTCTGATTGACCCGGGATCTCCTCTTCCTAAATGGTCGAGGGGAGACACAGACCATGAAGTTGGAAGAGGAGACAGAGAAAATGAACATGTAGGAGTGCTTCTAACAGAACTGTTTCATTCTGTTTGACAAAACGTCTCTGTCTGTCTGCAGGTGGAGAGTACTGAGCTCTGAAGTAGTTCACTGATTTACTGATGAGCACAGAGACTGGAGATCTTTTTCTATAATAGTGAGGATGGGAGCTGTATCATATAGTACTCACTGCTTTTTTTCCTGTTAGTACTCTGTTATTACACAGCTTCGTCAGTGGTATGTGCTGCTTCACTTATTTCCTAATCTCTTGCTAGTATTATGTATGTTAACCCGTCAAGAAATGCATTTAGTAATACAAATTATACACTGTTCTCCACTTTTGCCACCATGTAATTGCATGTTTTACCGAGGGTTTAAAGGAATATTCTGGCGTAAAGTTAATCTAGGGTCAAACACACCATAACACCAAGTTAGATACCCCATCGAGAGATGAATGTTGCTGACTGCTTGATTCTCTAGTTATACCAACTTTAGTAACAACCGCACGATAGCAATACACAGCAGTCTGAGGAGCCATAAACAAACCTCAACCAAAACGCCACTCTATAGCCACAAATAATGCTCAGAACAGCACCTAACTTAATCAACAGTACATATAGGGTCCTAGCCATAGCACTAAACATAAAACATCTTTTTAACTTTGCCAGATTTCTTTAGCAAAGAGACTAAACACAACTCACCTACTCTCTTCCAGCAGCTGCTTGGTTTTAGCAACACCTCAGGACAGTCCATTACGGACTGCTGCGGGGTGACAGAGCTCAAGGAAGAACATTTATGAGCATTTATGCATAGAGAAGCAACCAGTCGGCACTATTCAACTCTTGAGGGGGTGTTTAATTCGGTGTGCCTGTGTTTTTGACCCTAAATTAATTTTACGCCGGAATATCCTTTTAAGGGTCATTCTTTGTCCCTTGCATGCTAGAGCCCACAGTTCTCTCCTTGAAACACTAAAATTGTTCAATAGTATGTGTGGTTTCATTTTAAGGTATCCACCATTCTCTTCTTGTTATTTTCTGTAGATCAAATATCTTGTTAGGCAGTCCTCCATTCAACATATTATCATAAACTAACAGTTTAACCATCACAGGCAGGATAGTGGTGTTTAAATTGTAGTTTATTACTTAAACTGATATGCCCTCAGTCTGCAGCAGCAGTTTATCAAATGGACTGTTTAAGGTTTTTTAGTGTCAGTCTGTGAGGAGGTTAAAACTGTGAAAACATTCAAAACCAAATGAGCTGCAAGTGTGTAATGTGAATGTGTGTTGCAGTGAATGGCTCAGTTGTAATGACACATTAATGAAGATGTCGGCTAATTCGGGGTGACGGGAGGGAGGGAAGTAGGGATGGAGAGACGAGAGAGTAAACGGAAAAGGTAGGGATACAGCAGCTGCTCCTCCAGATGATTCATAGAGCTGCCCCCCTCATCGACTCTCCTCCCTCTCCATCTTTTCCTCCTTCCTTCTTCACTCTCTACACCACCTTTAAATAATAAAAATCAAGTCTCTAGTATTATATGCCACACAGATCACCCACTCTGTACATACACCTCTCGCTCTCAGTGTGCGTAAAAGATTGTTTCCCTCCCTCTCTATCATGCTGGACGGCCTGTCAGTGATGTTTATGATACTCATGAAAGGAGAAATGGCAGAAGGCGTTCGGCGTGCAAAGCAGTAAACACAACACGTTAAACTCAATAGATTAGCCGCATTAATACAGGGCAGCATCTACCTCATGCATTTATCTTAAATATGGACTCTCGGATAATCATATGCATGGATGCATAGACTCAGAAGAAAAGCATGTGCCAGCACTGAGAATATGGGGAATAAAATCCACTAAAAGGGGGAAACAGATTCCCCCTAATGGAGAGTGAGGTGGAGGAGAACCATATGTTGAATTAGACTAAATACAGCGACCCTCATGCATACAGCCAAGCAATGAGGTTGTAATGACGGTTATGAGATACAAAATAGAAAAAGTATGGACCACATGCCAATGTCTCAATTGACTTGAAGGGATATTTCAGCGTAAAATTAAGTTAGGGTCAAACACACCGTGACACCGAGTTAGACACCCCCCCTCAAGAGATGAATGTTGCCGACCGCTTGCTTCTCTAGTTTTACCAACTTTAGTAACGACCGCACGATAGCAATACACAACGGTCTCGGGAGCCATAAACAAACCTCAACCAAAACACCACTCTATAGCCACAAATAATGCTCAGAAGAGCACCTAACTTCATCAACAGTACATATAGGGTCCCAGCCATAGTACTAGCCACCAAACATCTTTATAACTTTGCCTAATTTCTTTAGCAAAGAGACTAAACACAACTCACCCACTCTCCTCCAGCAGCCGCTTGTTTGTGGGGGGAGCCCTGACGAGTGGATCACCAAGTGCACCGGATCATTTCCATTAAGTAATAATCATCATAATAATCATTTTGCACTGCAGACGCAGTAGTTCTTCTGCCTCTGTGTCTCGGTCTGATTGCATTTCCATGAAGTAATGATCACAAATGTTGATCCTTGAGCCGCGAAACTCCGCTGCACTCGGTGATATGGACTGCTGTGTATTGATATCATGCGGCCGTTATTTTGGTTAAGTTGGTATTAGGCAAGCAGTCAGCAACATTCATCTTTCGAGGGGGTTCTAACTCGGTGTTACGGTGTGTTTGACCCTAAATTAATTTTACGCCGGAATATCCCATAAAGCTCTCGTATAAAAAATATGAATCTAGTGATCTAAAAATGGACCTAGCCTCTCTCACACTAAAGAAAATACACACTACCTTGAAGATCCACTGTACAATGGGTTTGCCAAACGTTTAAATCAGTCCTCTTTCTTTCCTTTAATTTGAGGAGTTGCTGTCCCTGGACCCTCCTTCAATTGCACAGTCTAGTCCCCCCTCCATAACTGAGCTTCAGCCTTTTACTTTCAGTACAAGACCCCCTTTAGGTATCAGCTATTTTTATACTGCTGGTCCTCTTAAGTAGAGGTGGATTTTTTGGCCTATTGTGAATGAAGTAAAAGACATTCATATGTCCTCGCAGTTCTATCCATCTTTTGAGTTGAGCTTTTATTTTATTCTCTGATTCTTATCATTCTGGTTTAATAACGCTCTCGCTGTGGGTGAAAATAAATGAAACACTCCTTGTGGCACTGGAATGCATTAAGACTTCTGAAAAGAAATATTGATCAAAGCAATTTTTCATCATTTTACAAAACTTTCTTTCTCAAGCAACAGTCAGACATTCTGTTTAAGGCAGTTTTTGCACTGTGGGAAAACGATAAACTAATCTATTTGTGATTACAACAGTTATAAAAGCTATAAAAACAGCTATAATAAAGCAATCAGCAGTAAAGTCAAATAAAGCAATCAGTAGCCATGTTTGTGCAAAACTTCTTGATCCGATTTAAAATTTGAGGGATTGAAATAATTTGAAACCACTGTTTATACGGGTGCAAAATCAAATAATCCAATCATAACATGTGTATACATGTACCAAGCTCTGTTCAGATTAGACGCATTTGGACATGTGCAGAGTTGTCTGATTTTGCTAAAACAACCGCAGAGGAAGAGTTGTATCTACGCCTGTGCTGTCAACAAACCAACACATGCAGTAGTAGCGTTTTCCCCATGTTAAAAGTTGTCACTAGATGGCGCCCTTGCGTACTTATTTTACTGTTCTGTCAAAGGTTGCACTGTGCGTGCAGATGTGACATCATTACGCTGTATGTACGCCTTGTTATGTTACCGAAAGAGCAGGCACGGCACCTGCAGTTGTGTTTTATGTCAGAGTGTTAATAATGAAACCTCCTGTAGTGGCCTCAATAAATAAAACAAAGGCTAAAGAGTGAAGATCGAGTCAGGTTAAGAGAGTCATGATTGGAATAAGTGTTTACATGGACGCATGTCGGAATAACGATCGGCACAAACCACCCCTCTCGATCGGAATACAATTTCTTTCCGATTGAGCTGAATTGGATCAGAATCTTCCGGTTGAAATGTTTACATGACGCATTTTTATTCCAATCAGGCATTTATTCCAATTATTTGTAACCCGTGTAAATGCAGCTACAGTTTTAGTTAATTTCATAACCAGCTTAAGAGTGCCTAAAGTGTGCCTTAACTGAAAACACCAGCTCCTCTGAAGTCAATGCTGCAAACGGCCTCATTAACAGAAATTTGGCACTTTTCTACTTTAGTGCAAATCAACTCCCACTCCTGCTTTTCAAGTCTGAAACTGTCTTTGCAAACCAATATGGAAATGCAATACCCTACAATAAGAAAAAGGTCATTTGCAAACACAAATACCATTTTGGTCCATCAATAAACACAACAACTGTTTTCTTACTCCAGTAAAGTAAGCTGTTTCTGTATCACCGTCAGTGAGGAGGAATATAAACCACCCACTGCACCACGTTTATGTTTTTGTACGAATAACTGATTTCTCTGTGCATGTATTTTTTTGCATTAGGTTGCCTCCTCTGAGTCACAACCTTCAACAACAGCAGTCTACTCGTGCCTCAGCTGGGGTTGTGAACCTCACTCAGAGAGAGCAGGTCTTACAGGGATTATATGGATGCTGATGTGTTTATGTGTCTTGACTTAAGTAAGCTAAATTATACAGAAAGGTTCAGTGTGCATGAATATGAATATCTTTAAAACCTGGTGCTGTAAACTTAGGACATTTGATATTTCAACACAGAGGTGAACGCCGGAATACTTTCAGCTGCTGACCCAACATGACCCAAACACAGCCAAGGAAGAGGAAATAGCTTGCTAAACTTGTTCAAAATTCCCCATTGTGAGGAAAACAGTTTAATGAGTGTTGCTGCTACAATGAAAGTGATAAACGGAGTACCAAATGTAAAGAAATCGCAGAAAAAAGTCCCACAGTGTGCTTCAAAGCAATTCAGAGAACACTGTCACCTTTGAATTAAACTATCTGTTTTCCCCGGCCTCAAGCCCTCAACTTAAAACCTGACAGTGGTGTCTTTCCTTCAGCCGACTCAAATAAAATAATTCCCAAATGCTTGCTCAAGTACTCAACCAGTTAATGTGAAACTTATCAACCACATGGGGGCTGGATGAGGATTACTCACTCCTCAGTATGAAGGAAAACAATGAGGGAAATCCTTCAATATGCTGTAAACACCCCGAGCTCCAGCTGGACTTAGTATAGTCAGACAAGGATGATCTTCCTCCCCCCAAAGGCCCACACAGGTATAGAATCACTCACTGGCGTCATCCTGTGAACACTTACGATAGTTTAAAACCTTTCCCTAAAGCAGAAAAGTGAGCTAACAGAATTTCCTTAATTATAGCAGCCTTGGGGAGTCGATGCAGAGGAGGGGGCCCTTCAAGCATCCAAACACTGACACATCAGGAACTGCCCAGTGAGATGAGTACAAACGCTCCAGTATTGACGCTCGCTGCTCACCGCCTTGCTAAAGGGCACTTCGAAGGCAGCAGAGGAGGAGGAAACACTCTTACTCATCTTTCCTCCCACACAGTTTACCAGTCAGTCTGTGAATTCAAGCCAACTTACAGCAGCTGTTTCTCCCGCCCCTGGACATGTGGGCAGCTTTACCTTCAACTTTACAACACAGAAAGGTTTTTATGAGCTCTGGGAGACAAAGTCCCACATTAGTGCATTCACATTATGATACAGTTCACTTCTGTGTGGCACAGAGTGACCTGTTTGGCAGCGTGGAGCGTATTTTCGGTGGTACCTGGCATGAGCAGCTGTCTGTTCAGGCTTCTCAGAGACGTCCCTGTGCTGTTCATGGCTGCTGCTGGAGTCTGACATGGACATCGTCATGGAGATGGAGGCCTCTGTCATGTAACCGTTGAGGTCTGAAGAGAGAGACACAAGAGGAATGAGTTAGAGTTTAATGCCTTTTTCATTTATTCATAAACAGACAAAAGGTTTATTTGGATGTGATAAAAGAAGGTCAAAGGTCAAAGACAGAGTGTTTTATAAGTGTGCTGCCCCTTTAAGGGAGCAGGGGGGTTGTTTAGTCTGCCGTGCTGTGTGTCTCTTTTGATTTGCGGTAGTTCCTTTATCAGTGTTGGGCAGCAACGCGTTATTAGTAATGCCGTTACGTAACACCATTACTTTATTCAGTAACTAATAATGAGATACATTATTTTCAACTCAAGAGCAAAGGTAAAAACAACATTTTGGTAACATATAGACAGTGTCCCAGGTCAGAAATCCTTTCTACGGCGAACAACAGCAACAGCAATCTACTGAAGCATCTCAAGAAGCGGCATGCTTCAACAAAATTCGCAGCTAGCTTACACAGCATCCAAGACCGGGAGTCACAGCAGCGAGCACACACCCACTCCACCCAAGCAGCAGCAATTGGAGTTCGAAATCAGACCCATAGCCAGGCACAACTTGATATGATAGCACAGTATGTTTAATTGTTTATTTAGATCACTTTTAGTGCTATCAGGCTATTATTCCGAGAGTCCAATGGTAAAGTTTTGGTGTTAGTGTCAAGATTTGTGTTGGTGCTCAATGGATCATATTGCTTAGACGATTGAATTCAGTGAAGTGGATTCAATTGAATGTAAATGGTTGTTTTAATGAACAGTTTGTTTTATTCAGCATCAGTACAGAGCTGAAATGACCGCTACAGGGGAACTCAATCAATCCACCTTTATGTAATGGGAGCACTGGAAGAATGTTTTACAGTAGGCCAAACTAAAGTAACAAATTACTTTTTGGTTTAAGTAACTGAGTGACTAACTGAGTTAGTTTATTTTACAAAGTAACTAGTAACTGTAACTAGTTACTATTTTTCAGTAACTAGCACAACACTGTCCTTTACACAGACAGGCAGCTTGAAGTTGTTGGTTTTTTGCTCATTCACTTTTTCCTCAGTTGTACCCTGGAATACCTGTGAGTATTGGTTGTTACTGTGTTGTTCTTGCCTCTTAAAATATCAAAAACAGTTCATAATTCATGTGGGAAAACTTTAAAAACAGAGCGATGCTAACGCGCTAGCCTGTCAATGGCATTTCCAATGTTACGTTAGCATTAAGCTAATCGGCGATAATCCGTTGGTGTTAAGTTTATTTAAAATTAAACTTCTTTATGTGGATTTCTCTGGCGTAAGATTATTGTGTTAAAAACGAGAATAACAAAATGTAACATTTTATTTTTTTGGTTTTTTATATTGCTGTTTCACAGTGCATCAACAGTGAACAGACTGAACACTCAACTGCTAACTAACCTGTTAATTGAAGATCATCTGTTAGCT